TGTGATTGCGGTCGCGATGATTAAAAATATTAACTTGTAAATATCTTGTGACATGCGCTCGGAAAAAAAAATAAAAAATTGAAAGAAGGTTGGAAAAACCGGAAAAGGAAAAAAAAACGGATGTAGATGTAAAAAAATGAGAGAAGGAAGGGAAGGGGTGGAGGTTGAGTAAAAGCGGAAAGAGAATAAAAAATAAAAAAATAAAAAATAAATTTGACTTTTTCTCATTATAACTAATACTTGATGACAATATTCCACATTTTTTTTTTATTGGTCGTAAAAGAAAAATAAAAAAAAAAAAAAGAAAAAAAATGTTTTTCGTTTCCTTTTTCACGACGGTTAAAACTTTGTTTTATTTATATATATAAAAAAAAAAAAAAATTATTATTGTTATGCTAAATAAAAGTTAACAAAAAAAAAAAATTAAATTAAATTAAATTAAATTAAATTGAATTTAAAGTAAAAGTTTATAAAAACTTTATAATAATAATAATAATAATAATAATGATAATAAAAAGGAAAAAGTAAATGGAAAAAATCATTTAAAACGGAAGTTGGATAACTTAAAAAAAAAAATCTTTTTCTTTTGCCAAAGTGCTTTGGCAGTCGCCATTTCCGGTTTAATGGAGGATTTACAGGAAGGGGAATGGGAGGAAATGGGAGGGGAGAAAAAGAGTGAAAAGAAAAACTCGGTCGAAATTAAAAACAAGTTTTTCTTTTTTTTTTTTTTTTTTTTTTTTTTTTAAGTTAATGGTTGAAACCGCCACGAGAAAAAAGAGAAAAAATTATGCTTTGAAAACCTTTTTCATTTTTTTTTCTTTTTTTTAATTAAACCTTTCGGAAAATCTAAAATTTTTTTTGATGTTATTATTATTATTATTATTAGTGATATTATAGCAGACGAATTTAATTCGGGTTTTTAAACAATTCGCAGGGTTTAACGCCACAAAAAAAAATTTTTTTTGTTTTTTTTTCCTACTCCGCCTCCTTCTTCTTCTACTCCTCCCCCTTCCCCTTTCGTTCTAACAGTTTTGCCAATGATGAAAAAAAAAAAAAATTTTTTTTAATTAAAATAAAAAAATAAATAGTTTCCTAACGAGAGAGAAAGAGAGAGAGGAAGAGAAAGGAAGAGAAAATGTCTGCCAAAAAAAACGAATTTTTAATTTTTTTTTTTTTTTTTGTGTGTATTATATAAAAATAATAACTCTGGGGGAGGGGGAGGGGAAGGGGAAGAAAAATTAATAAATAATTTAAAATAAATTTGGCGGGATTTCAAAAAAGTTTAAAATTTTATATGAATTTCAAAGAGTCAAAGATCTATCAAACGTTTCATTAATTTTCACAAACAAAAAAAAAAAATTTTAGTAGAAATTTTAAAAAAAACAAACAAACGAACGGGCGAACGTTTTACATTAACCGAATTTTAATTTGTTTTCTCTCTCTTATAACGACGGTTTGACAACCGTAAAAGTGATTACGTCACATTAGTAACGTGTGACGTAATGAATAAATTATTATAATCGATTAAAAGCCAAAGTGAATGGATGGACGTGACGGTGACGACGACGACGACGACTTTTCAATCGGTCAAACGTGAAAATTTTCACAAAAATTTTTTTTTAAAAATAATTTTAACGAAGAAAAATTTTATCATGTTGGCAACTCCGAAAATAAATAATGATGATGATGTCGCATGACGTCATGCATGTGTGAAAAAGATTTTATGGTTGTTGACGATTGCGATGAGAAAGTTGGAAAAGAAAAGATGGATGGAATCAACTTCGCAATGGTTTAGGAAAATTATTATTATTATTATTATTATTATTATTATCGAATCCCGACTTTCCATACGAAGGAAAATTTTGTTTTTCAATTAGATATAATAATCAGAGGATTTCAAAACGATGGAAAAACTTTGGTTTCCTGTAAAAAAAAAAAAAATTTTTTTAAAAAAACGTGGTTTCATACATTTAAAAAAAAGTTTTTTTTTCATGGTTTATTATACCTCGCCACACTTCCGTTTCCGGTTTTTTTTTCCACGTACGTTTTTCCCATCATTCATTTTTTTTTTTTTTTTACCTCACTCTAACTCTCCCTCTCTTTCTCTTTCTCTTTCTCTTTCGTTTTTTTTTTTTTTTTATTACTCCTGATCGGCTAACCATTTCCGTTTCCGATTTTTCCATAGTTTCATCCGATTTCGACACGTTATGACGTCATATTTTCATTTAAAAAAAAAAGGAATTCTTTGCAAAAAAAACCCGGATTTTGATGACTTTTACGCTAAAACAAAATAATAATAATAATAATAACGTTTTTTTTTTGTTTCGGTTCAGATCGTTAATTTTTTGCGTTTTGTTGTGGAAAAATTTTTTTAATAATAATAATGATAATGATAATGATAATAATAATATTTATTTAAAATTTTTAAATGAGGGTTGTAAATATAAAAACTTAATAAATTTTTTTTTTTTTTTTAGTTTTCATGTCTCTCTTAAGTAATATATAAACCTTAATTGTTTTTCCGATTTTCTCTCTTCCTCTCCCTTTCTCTCTCTTTCTTTCTCTCACTCTCTCTTTCTCTCTTTCTATCTCTATCATTTTTTTTTATTTGTTGAGGGAAAAACCGAAATTAAAACCCAAATATTTAAATAAAAAGTATTTTTCCAAACAATTTTCAAAAAAAAGAAAAATCAAACATAATCAAAGAAAAAAAAACAAAATGGCGACAAAAATACTTTTCTTTTTTTTTATAAAAAAAAACATTAAAATTTATTTTGTCGCACACTTACAAAAAAAAGCAGAAATGTAATTATAAATAATTAATCAAAAAAAAAAAAAAAGAATAAAAAAAATTTTTTTTTTTTTTTTTGGAACGCAATCAAATGGGAAATGCAGTTCAAGTTTTTTTTTTTTTTTTTTTTTTTTAACTTTTAAATTTTGAAAAAACAAAAAAAAAAAATCAAGAAAGATTAATAATAATAATAATAGTTGGACGTTTTTTTTGTCACCAAAATAAAAAAAAAAACGATTTCATCAGTTGTTATATAAAAAAACTTTTATTTCCGGTCAAAAACCAAAACAAAAAAACAAAATTTTTTTTTGTGGGTTTTCCTCGGTTTATTTTTTTTCTTTTTTTTTTTTCAATACGTCACAATAATAATAATAATGATATAAAAGAATGTAAAAGTTATTATTATTATTAATATTACGTTTGAATTAAGAATGAAAAAGGAGGAAACTGATTAAAGGATAATAAAAATAATAATGGTTTATATTAAACTAATAAGTTGTAAGAATCAGCGATGAATGTTTGGGGAGGTGGAGAAAAAGGGGAAGGCGGTGGTGGTGGTGGTAGTAGAGAAGTAGAAAATTTTTTTTTTTGTTCTTGATAAACGGTTCGGGAAACCCCAGAAAATTTTTTTTTTCACAATTCAATAATTTTTATATAAATAATTAATGATGAAACTTAATAAAAGATTTAAAGTCGTCCTCCAAAAAAAAAAATTTTTTTATTCTTCTTCTCCCTTTTTCTTCTTCCTTTTTCTTCCTTTTACTTCCCTTTTCTTCTTCCTTTTTTTTACTTTAGTAATAAAAAAAAAAAAAAATTGTATTTGACGTTTAGAACTGAAGAAGCAGAAGAAAAAAAAAAAAGAGAAAAAATTATTTCCTTTATCTTTTATTAATAAAAAGAAAGTTTTTTTTTTGTATTTTCGGATTATATTTTTTTTGAGATCTCGTTCGTAAGAAAAAAAAAACGTGGAAGTGAGGAGGCAGAAGTAAAAGGAGGAGGGAGCGGGGAAGGAGGAAAGGGGAGAAAATGATGGAAAAGATGGAAAATCGGTAGGAAAACTGTGTAGAGAAAAAAAAAGATGAAAAATGATGAATTTTTGTCGAGGGTTTTTTTTTTTTTAAAATAAAGAAAAAAATATCAAAATTTTCAAATCGTGAAAATGATTATAATAATAATAATGATAATAATAATAATAATAGTAATGATGATGATGATGATGATGATGATGATAATGATGATGATGATGATGATGATGATAATAAATTCAATAAATTCCAATCGAAAAAAGAAAAAAAAAAAAACGCTTTTATTTGATCGCGTTTGCGTTTTGTTTTTTCCCCAAATGTTTTCCACCGCACGGTTCCCCCCTTCCCCCCCCCGAAAATTTCGTGATAACGAGGTGATAACGATAAAACATATATATAAAATCATAGGAGAGAGAGAGAGGCGCGGAAAGGTCACCCGGGAGGAAAGGGGCGGGGGAGTGAAGTTTAATATTCATTTTTTTTCCCCTCCCCATCAACATCGCGTTCCCATCGGAAAATATTCGCATGGATTTTTTTTTTTTTTTAAACAAGGAAAAACTTTTTTTTTTTTTTGTTTAGAGTTTGTTGCGTGCGAAATGTTTTGAAACAAACAAAAAACAAACATGGAGGAGGAAGAGGAGGAGGAGGAGACTGGGTAAAATAAATAAATAAAAAAAGAAAAAAACGGAATATTCTTGCATTCCGTTAATAAATCATTCTTACTCAAAGGAAGTAATCTTGTATTTTCACCTTTACGACCTTTAACCCGTTTATCAACTCAACATTTTTCCATCCTTTTAACATTTTATTGTTGTTTGTTGTTGTTGTTTGTTCGTTTTTATTTCCACGAGAAATTTTTTATTTTTTACGTTGAATGATCAATATTGTTATTTTTACATAAAAATAAATTGTTGTAAATTCGAGATTTGAAAAAAAAAGGATTAACCTTTGAGTAATTTTCAATAAGATTTACATTCGAAAAAGGAAAAAAGGAAAAAAAAAATGGAAAAAAAAATCCTTTTAAAAACTTTGTCTTAACAACTTTTTATTATTATTATTAAAAACTCTTATTTAAAAAGAAATTTAGAAAAGATTAACCCCGACCAAGAAAAGAAAAAAAGGATTAAATAATAATAATAATTATAATCGTAATGACTATAATTATTATTATTATTATTTCTTAGAAATTACTTTTAATACCCTTTCGTTAACCCCCCGTCTCCCCTTTCTCCCTTTCCCCTTCATTAACAATCTTTTACACCGGTTATTCCAACACGAATTACAATTTTATTCTTTTTCCTTTTACCATTTAAAAAATTTTTCATTTCAGGTTCATTTTACGGTGCGAGTTACATTCACGTACCTTTACAGGATGCTAAAAGCACGACGGATATTCATTTCCGGTTTAAAACTAAAAGATCGGATTCGTTTTTACTTTTGGTTGCCGGAAGAACGGATTATTGTATTATACGTTTAGAATTTGGAAAATTGAAGGTACGTTCAGTAATCATCATCCTTCTTTTTTTTTCCTTTTCTTAAACCGTCATTTATTATTATTATTATTTTTTTTTTAAATTAAAAATTTACGATTATTTAAAAGAAAATGTTTTGTATTTTTTATTTTAAAACCGGAAATAGATAAGCGCGGCCATCTTGTTATAATAAATTTTAAAATTATTTCTTTGATGTAGTCGTTTTCATTTGTAAAAAAAATAAAGATTCTTTTTATATTTATTTCCGTTATTTTAAAATAATGATGATAATGATAATAATAATAATGATAGGTGTGTGTATAAATATACGAGTCGGAGAACAGTAGACGGGAATAAAAGGAGAGGAAGGAAGGAAAAAAGAGAGAGAAAAAAATTTTTTTTTTTTAAAAAAGTTAATTGAAAAATTAAAAATGTCGGAAGGAGGAGGGGATTGTGAGGGGAGGGAATAATGTGACGACAAATATTATTTATTGATTTTTTTATTATTATTATTATTATTAATAAAATTAAAATCGATAAATCTTTATCTTTACTTAATTATTATTATTAATTTATCGTAGGAGGAAAAAAAAATTTGATTTATACAAAGAAAATTTCACGATTTTCGTTTTTTTTTTTTTTTAATAAAAAACGGAAAAAGAAAAAACGAAGGGGAGGGGTCTAGGAGGAAGAGAAAAAAGAGGAGGGTCGATGGAAAAGTAATTAAAGTTTATTTATTAATAATAATAATAATAATAATATTAAAATTTTTTTTTTAATTTAATGAAAATTCTCGTGTGTTTGTCGTCGTCGTCGTCGTCGTCGTGGGTGTTTATGTACATTTTGAATGTTTTTTTTTTTTTTTACAAAGAGACTCGTTTGTTGTTTGTTGGATTTTGTTTTCGGGGGATGGGGGAGAAGGGAGGGGAAAGAAAATATTTTTTATACTTTTCAAATCAATTCTGCGTAAATTATTTTTTTATGTAAGGAGAAAAGAAAACAAAAAAAAGGAAATTATTAAATCGTGTGAATAATTTTAAAATGATTGTTTTCTTTTCCCCTCCCCTCCCCTCACTCCCCTCTCTCCCTCCCCTTAAAAACAAAAAAAAATTAATTTTTTTTTTTTAATGAATCGTGAGTCAGCTGTTAGCAAACTCATGACCGCAGCAAATGAAAATTAATTTTTTTTTTTTTTTTGCTTTTATTTTCCAAAACTTTGTTTTATAATTTATATAAATTTTTTACTTCATTACACAAAGGAAAAGAAAAAAAGGAAAAAAAAAAAGGAATTTACCGAACGTAATAAAATTTTTATTTATTTTTTATAGATTCGGATTAATTTAGGAGCTGGAGAATCGGAAATTTCGTCTGCTAGAGGTTTAAAATTAGACGATCTTAATTGGCATGAAGTTTTTATAACGAGACGAGATGCCGAATTTGTTTTGGTCGTTGATAACATTCATATCACTAAGTGAGTTTTATTATTATTATTAACAATTTTCCAGTTGGCAGCTCTGATTTTTTTTTATCATTATAAAAATAATTTGTTTTAAAAAAAGTTTCCGATTTTCATTCAACTTCATGATTAATTATTTTATTTTATCATTTCGCTAAATAAAAAATTTTAAATAATGGCGGCTCTTTTTTTTTTTTTTTTTTTTTTTTTTTTTTTTTAAAAACAAAAATTTCTTCGAGTTAATTACGAGTTTAAAAAAAAAAAAATTCTAATGATAATAATAATAATAGTAATTAAATTAAAATCGTTATATTATTAATAAAATTAATTAAAATATAATTATTATTATTATTATTTTTCCAGAGAAAAACTGCCTGGAAGATTTTACGAATTAAATATTCATTATGGAATTTTCCTCGGTAGTCAAGGAGATTTTACTGAGCTTTTTTTGGGTCATCACGAGTCCCTAAGAGGTTGCCTTTCTCACGTCGATTACAACGGTATAAACGTATTGAAAAAAGCAAGAGAAAGAATCGGACAAGTCGATGTACAAGGTGTCACGTGGTCATGTTCTCCAGAATTCGAAGCGGGATACGATAAAGAAATAAGTTTCGTTGAAAATGGAGCCTTCATGACTTTACCAAATCCAATAACGAGGAGCGGAACGAGGTTTTTACCCCCCCTCCCCACGAAAATCGTTCATTTCGCGAAATGATAATGATAATGATGATGATTTTTTTTACAGATGGGATTTTAACGTGAAAATATCAAATCACAACGGTTTGCTCCTTTACGGATCAGGATTAACATCGAAATCGGATTACGTTGCCGTTGAAATCGTCGACAGTCAAATAAGATTAATCGTTGATCGTGGAAATGGTGCAGCCGAACTCATAAGCGATGATTCAATATCCGACGGTTACTGGCATTCTGTAACGGTTTTTTTCACACCGACCATATTAGAAATAATAATTGATAAAAAATCATCGAGTTTACAATTAACTCCGACGGAAAATCGTTATTTAGATTTAGATATCGGAGATGTTTTATTCATAGGTATTAAATCCGCCATTTAAAAAAAAAAAATTTTTTTCCTTTTTCTATCTAAAATGGAAGATTTTTTTTTTTTTTTTTTCAAGGTGGAATGGAACTTAATAAAAGAGCAAGAGCATTGGGACAAGGTATAAAATCCGCGGATGTATCTATAAAAGGTTGTTTGAAAAATATCACGTTCGATGGTAAAAGATCCGGTTTTCCAGATGCTAAAATAACCGTTGGTTTATTACCGGATTGCGTTTGGGAATATCATTGTAATAAAAATCCCTGCGTTGAAAATTCAATATGCATACAACAGGGAGTAGAATCTTTTAAATGCGAATGCGATAATCCACCGTGTGTTAAACCTGAATATACTGATAATTATAAGGTATCGATATAATTTTTTTTTATAATAAAATAAAATAAAAATCCTTAACCGTAAATAAATTTTTGTTTTTATATAATTAAAGATATTTTCAAAAACATCTTTGCCAAGGGATTTGGAAATAATTAAATTAGTTCCGGTTATTACGGAAGAAGGAAAAAATTCATTGATAACCACTGATAATATCGACGTGGTTTTAGATTATAGAAAATATGGCGTTAGAGATTCCGGTCTTCTTTTTAGAATATTAAAACCTCCAGAATTTGGAAAGATTTCCGTTGAAAATTGGGATAAACGTGGGTTGTCACGTCAGGTTTTCACGCTTTTAGACGTTGCCAAGGATAAAGTATTTATTTCTTTTTCCCCCCAATCACCCCCCTGCACCCCCCCCCATTCTCTCTTTTATTTTTAAATCGAATTTTTTTTTTTTTTTCTCGTAAATTCCAAAGATTTATTATCTTCATGACGGCTCGGAAAATCATCACGATGTTATAACATTCGATATGGAATTATCACCGGAATCTGGATTTTTACTTCCGGGTTATCTACAAGGAAGACACAGATTCGTTTTACACGTTAATATAACACCCGTTAACGATCCTCCACATCTCGAATTGGGTCCTGGAAAAGTATTGAGACTCGCACAGGTAAAAATTTAAATAAATAAATTTTTAATCCTTCGTTTGTTTGTAATTTTTTTTTTAATAAAAATAAAAAATTTTTAAAAATAGGGTACTAAAAAAATTTTGTCGAAAGATCTTTTAAATGCCGAAGATCCCGATAGTCCGACATCGGATTTAGTTTACACTGTTTTAAACCAAGGAGGTAAACCGGAAGAAAAAGGTTATCTGGAAAGAATCGGAAGACCCGGATTAAAAGTTGACACATTTACACAAAAGGAAGTTGACAACAATGTTATTATTTACGTTCACAGAGGAAAAGAAAGTTCAAATTCTCGTTTAGCTTTACAGGTTTGTTTGTTTGTTTGTTTGTTTGTTTTCCTCTCATTCTTTCGTATTTAAAAATTTTGTTTTCTATCAATTTAAAGGTTTCGGATGGCATAGAAACAAGTCCACCGATATTTTTAAGAATATCATCATTTCCGTTAGAAATAAGATTGTTAAATAACACGGGTAAAAAAAATTTTTATTAATTTTTTATTAATTAATTAATTAATAATTAATAAATAAATAAAATTGATTATTGCGTTTTTTTAGGAATTATTTTAACGCATAAATCATTTATGAAAATAACCGGACAAAATCTTAGTTTCGTTACAAACGCGGAAGATCCGACATTGGAAATACGATACGAAATAACAAAATTACCTCAATATGGCGTCATTCAAAGATTTATAAATTTAGAAAAAAAAAATTCCGACGAAACATTTAATGGATCATCATTATGGCAAGTCGTAGAACAATTTACGAGTCAACAAATATCGAGAGAAGAAATTCGATATTTACACACGAATCAGTCACCATCCCATGATTTTTTCAAGGTTAAAACCGGAAACACAAAAAAAAAACGTTTTATTTAAAAAAATTCAAAATTAAATTTTAATTTATTTTTTTACTTCCAGTTTAAAGTTTCCGTGGGACAAGTAAAAAATCCAACGGAATACGACTTCCGCGTGACGTTTACAAAATTATCAATCGAACCTATAAGTTTGGAAGAAATTTATTTAAACGGTACGAAAGATGCGATGATAACGGAAAAAGAACTTGAATACGTCACAAAACCGTTAAGAACTGATAAGAAAAATATCGTGTACGAAATAATTAACGGTCCGAAATACGGGTATTTGTCTCTCGTCACGAATAAGAGACAACATTTGCAAGACGGTGATTTTTTCACGCAGGAAGACGTAGAGAGAGAAAGGTTCAGGTACAGGCTACATCGTAAAGGTTATTCTCACATAAAAGACAATTTCGTGTATAAAATTAAAGTTCAAAACGCGGAAACGTCACCGAGAATTTTAAATATTATTTATTCTCCCAATCAAAAACTTAAAAATGAAGTTCAGGTTACATTGGAAGGTCTTCAGGTAGACGAAGGTGGTCGACAAGTTCTTTTGCCCACGAATCTCGATCTTCGTGCTAATTTTATAACGTCTTTGATGTACAACGTGACTCAGGGACCACAATTCGGACGATTGGAAATAATGGATGATTCATTACAAAATATTTTACGTAAAAATTCATCTTATTTCACGTCCGAAGAATTATTCTCTGAAAAAGTTTACTACGTACACGACGATTCGGAAACGAGAAGCGATAGATTTAATTTTGTAGCTTTATCGAACGAACAAGAAGATTTTCAATATGTCGGAGAATTTCACGTTAATATAATATTAAAAAACGATAACACACCCGTTAGAGTCATTGATAAAATTTTCAACGTGGTTATAAATGGTGAAAAACTTCTAACCGGAAGAGATTTAAAATATTCTGATGCGGATATTGATACTAAACCCTCGGATATAATATATACGAGAAGAGGGATACCAAATGGAGGTTTATATTTAGCTAAAGACCCTACAAAACCAGTTTTCGAATTCACACAAGATGATTTAGATAAAGATTTGATTTTATTTAAACACGAGGGTACGGAATATGGTAAAATAGGTTTGTGGATAACCGATGGACATTTTTATGCAAACGGTTTACTAGAAGTAAAAGCTTCTCCCCCTTACATACTCATAAATAATACGAATTTGATTGCTCAAAGTGGTAAAGTCACTCCTATAACTACGTCACATTTAAGTTCCGAAACGAACCTGAACACTCAAAGTCACGAAATAACTTATAACGTCATTGAACCCCCCCAACATGGTTACATAATGCTTTTACCGGAAGAAGAAACCTTAAAATCATTTACGCAATTGGAATTAGAACGTAAAAAAGTTTTCTACAGCCATTTTGGTGATTCGTCCGTGAAGGATTATTTCAGGTAATGATTCTTATTATCGTCACCCCGTGTGTGAAAAAAGCGCGCCAAATAACAATAATAATAATAATAATAATTTTTTTGTAGGTTTCAAGTCATAGCTCAAGACACAACAGCAGAAAGAATTTTCAACATAAGAATTTATCCATCGAGTTTTTGGGAAGATCTCATCACACGTAATTATACTCTATACGTCGAAGAGTCAACGAGCATAACGATAACAAATAATAATTTGGAAGTAATAAAAAAATTAATTTACCTTCGAGCGATGATAATAATGATAATGATAATAATAATCACGTTAAAAAACGTTTCAATTCAGGTAATGCATCCGAACATAGCACCGAGCGATATAATTTACTACGTCGTCAAACAACCTTCCTACGGTACTTTAGAAGTTGATTCCGTCGTAGCAACAGCAGCAGACGACAGCAAAGACGATTCGAAAAATTTAATTAAAATATTCGAACAGTCAACAATTAACGATCGTCATTTACATTACGTTCAGGTAAGAAAAAAAATTTTTTTCCCCTTTTTTTTCTTTTTATTTCCGGTTTTAAATTTGAAAAATTGAATTTTTTTTATTTTGTCGCCGCTGCCGCCGACAGGAAATCGCAAATCAAACGAAAGATTTAATTATAATGGACGTGACGAATGGCATAACGTGGATACGAGGTTTAGAACTTAATATAATCGTTATACCGGAAGTTATTTACATACAAGGCGGTCGTTTCGAATGTCTCGAGGGTGATTCCACTCAACTTCCGAATACTTTATTCACCGTACAAAATAATTATTATCAGAATAAAATCATAGAATATGATATCGTTGAAAAGCCAAAACACGGATTTATTTATTTATTTAAAAAACCGGAAACGCCCATACAAAAATTCACTAAACAACAATATGAAAATGGTCTCGTTCAGGTAATGAGAATTTTATTTTATTTCATTTTTTTTTCATTCGACTTCGGATTTATTGATCGGGGAGGGGTGGTTTTGTATTTTTAGTATCGTCACGACGGAAGTGAAACCATCGAAGATGAATTTAAAATAATCGGTAAAACAGAAGATAAAGAAAGTACGATTGTGACGGTGAATGTTAAAATTCTTGAAATAAACGATCAAAAACCTTATTTGGTAAATAACAAAGGTTTGGAACTTTGGGAAGGTTCTTCCGCCATAATAACATCAAAAAATTTAGGTATTCGATTGTTAGAACACTATTAGAGCGTATTTTGAAACTGTTTTAAAACAAAAATTGTTTTTTTTTAGCCGTAAAAGACGAAGATACGTTACCGGAACAAATATTATTTACGGTAACATCGGTTAAAACCGGTCATTTGGCACTGGTAACAAATCCTAACAAACCTATTTTACATTTTACGCAGGCGCAAATCGATTCAAGTCAAATTTTATTTTTACACAAAGGTAAATTATTATCAAAAAAAATTTATTTAATTTATTAATAATAATTATTAAACGTGTTCCGCCATTTTTTTTTCTTTCCTCCCCGTACAGGCGGTCTTTATGGTAAATTTCAATTTTTTTTCACCGACGGCGAAACAATTTCGGAAAAAATAAATTTTAACATAACAGCAAAAGTCGTTAAAATAAATTTGGTCAATAATGAAAACCTACAAATATTTCCAACGTTGAAAAAACCAATAAATTCAGATCTTTTGCTGTCGGTGACGTCAGATCACACGAGTTCGAGAGGTAATTCTATAACTTATTGGATAAGGAAAAAACCGGAATTGGGAAAATTAGTTTTAAAAGATGAGAAAAATAATTTCGTGGAAGTAGATAGATTTACTCAATCGGATGTTAACGATACAAAAATATGGTATCATCATACGAAAAAATTTAGAAATTTTTACGCACAAGATAATTTCGAATTTGACGTGCACGCAGAATTCACTCACGCGTTAGTCGAACAGGTACGATATAAATAAAACAAATTTCATTTTAAGTTTCAGTATTGCCAATATTTTAAAACTTAAAACAAATTTTTAGATTTTTAGTATAAACATTTCCGTTTCTTCCGGAGGACTCGATCACTTTCTAGACATTTCAACGGTCGAAGTGAAAGAAGGTGATTCGAAAACAATTCGAATCAACACGAATGAATTAATATCGTTTTTAACAATTCAAGCCGGTTTGGAATCTCCTACTATTCAAATTCATTTGTTTAAAAAACCTACGCACGGTCAAATATGCTACAGGTCCGAGTGCAACGTCACAATATTTTCCCAAAATCAATTAAACATGGGAGAAATAATTTACAGGCACGATAATTCGGATACGTTACGCGACGAAATTAATTTTTGGATATACCTCGAACCCGGTGACGTACTTTTATGTAACGTAACAATCCCCGTTAAAATAATACCGGTTAACGATCAACCTTTTTCAATAATAACACTATCTCCTCATTTGACGGTTGTCGAAGGACAAAAATACGTATTGACCAAACACGATTTACTCACCGAAGATGCCGACACGTCACCCGAAGATATCGTTTACGATATAATAAACGGTCCTTCGCAGGGTACCGTTTCCGTTTTGAGAAACGACACGAATAATTTAGATTTAAGCGGACGATTCACTCAAGAGGACATTAATTCGGGAAGGGTGGTTTATCATCATTCGGGTTCTATACAACCCACGAGTTTTTATTTTAGAGTGTCCGACGGTAAATTCAATCCGACTTACACCGTTTTCAACATACAAGTTTTGCCTTTGATATTAAACATAACGAGTTCGAATCCTGTTTATTTGCAACAGTGTTCTAGTGTCGCACTCGTCACGCCCGATAATTTTCAAATCGATACGAACGGAGATGTCGGTAACGTCAAATACAACGTAACGAAAAGTCCAAAAAATGGCGTCATTTATTTGGGCGACGTACCATCGAATTTTTTCACACAAAACGATTTGGAAAATAAAAAAGTAATGTACATGCAAACGGTCATGTCGGCTCCGGGTGATTCTTTTCAACTCGGGGGTTGGATAATCGAAGTAGAAAATCCACCCAGAGTCGAAATCAACGTCGTTATCAAACCTTTGATAATAACGGGTATATTCACGCCGATCGTCGGTACCAAAAATCGTTTGGGATTATCGGTTTTGGACGCGTCGCCTTTAGCTAAAGTTACCAATAGTAATCCAGTATACGAAGTTATTAAAAAACCAAGATTGGGAAGATTGAAAAAAATAATAAGGAGTTCGGGAGAAAAGAAAAACATTAAAGAAAAAGAAATCGGTAGGTTTTCGCACGAAGAACTCAAAAGCGGTGTCATTTATTACGTCACGAAAAAATCAATAATGGCGGATGAAATATACGGTTTGGACGATTTGATGATTTTACAATTGGTCGCATCAATATTTCAACCTGCAAAAGTTGAATTAAAATTTAAAGTCGTACCTGAAACAAATCTATCGGTGAATTCAATAGACGCCATATCCCAACAACATCCTAAAATGCCGGCATCGAAAAATCCTATAAGTCAAGATGGCGGCATAAGAGTTGCGAGTCCGAATATAAAAAGTGACTATTTATTAATATTAGGTATGATTGTGGGAGTGTTGTTTTTAGCAATAATAGTTGTCATTATCGTGAGGTGTCGAACGGTTAAAAGCGAAGAAAGAAAATCAAATAAACAAGATTTACAGGGTCCTTTACCCTTGCCCCGTCCGCCGGACGATTTGATGCCCTCCACTGGAAGAATAAAAAATTTTACGTCATCAAACGGCTCAACTCCAAATTCGATACCACAATGTAAAGTCATACCCATAGGTCCTGTGGATTCAATAACGAGTTCGGATTTGGAAATCAACGCTCGGTATCCATACGGGATATCGGATGATCCCGTCGAAGATTGGAGCAGTTACGACACGTCCGAAACCGGATATCCTCACAGAACTATTAATCCTATGCTTAGGAGAAATCAATATTGGGTATGAATGTAAATTTTGTTTTTTTTTTTTTTTTTTTTCTCTTTCTCTTCTTGTTTTTGTTATTAAGTGAATTATATTTATCGCGAAAAAAAAAAAAAAATTTATTATGTACGTGTAAACGAGAGACTGAAATCAATTTAAAAAAAAAAAAAAAATTTTTTATTAATTATTTTTTTTTACTCAGACAATAATAATAATAATAATTAAACCGCCATTTGTAATTTAAATTACGATTGGAAAAAAAAAAAAAAATTTATACAAAAAAAAAGTACCGATCTAAGGTATAAAGCTCATTAAATGGAACCTGAATAATAAATTTAAAAAAAAATTTTTTTTTTTTAATTACTTCCCCTTCTTTCTTATTCCCTAATCATTTATTCGCCATCTTTATATTTTTAATCATTCGATTATAAATCGATACGATTCGATTCGAGTTTTTTTTTCTTTCGTAATTTTTCGATTTCACATCGGGTTACGCTCGATTTCCTCTTCGACACTCGATTTGACACTCGGCAACAAAAAAGAAATAATAATAATAATAATAATAATAATAATAATAAAATTTCCGTTAAAAACTTTTTTAATTTTCATTTTTCAATTTACATTCTTATATGAAATGTACTCAAAAATTCAGGAGCTCTCGTTATCACGTGTTCAAATTCCATAAATGAAAGTTTACCATCTCCGTCAACGTCGGATTCCTCTATGACTTTTTCACATACCTGAGAAATTTCTTCAGGTGTGAGTTCGTTTCTCGTTAACAAACGCAAAGCAAGTTCTAAATCTTTATGTCCGATGTGTTGATCTCCGTCGAAATCTGCAATGTCAAATCATTCCTTCAAAGGTATTCGACCTACGTGGATTAGGACCTACGCGAGTAGGTACGTACCGTATATTTTAAAAGCGTAAAAAACTTTTATGTCTCTCGGTGCGTGTTCACTAAAAACGGACAAAAGATCTAGAAAATCTTCGAACGTGAGATTTCCCTTTCCGTCGTTTGAAAAAACTTCACAGATTCTTTGCCTGAAAGGATTTTCCTTCAAAAAAAAAAAAAAAATTAATCAATCATCTTAAAAAAAAAAAACGAACCCTTTCAAAACCTGAACCTTAACTTACTCTAAGCTCTGGCAATTTGAGTACTTCTTCCATCGACACCAAAACGGTCACGGGTTCGTTTTTTGTCATGGTTTTAGGCACGACATCCGGATTTATTTCCCGAAACCTTTTGTGCACTCTTAATATTTCTTTCCTCGTGAAAAATGTACAATCCTTACACACAAAAAAATAAACGATTACGTGATGGCGACGATGAAAAATTAACCCCCTCAACATTATAAATAATAATTACCTGATAATCTTCCAATTGATCTTCGGTAAACGTCACAAATTTATTTCCCATCTTTCGATTCAATTTTATTATTATTCATTTAAACAAAAAAAAAAAAAAAAAAAAAAAAAAAAGGAGAGAGAGAGAGAATGAGAGAGAGAGAAAAACGTTCACTTATGTTTTAACATGTATTACACACGTTCGCTTTTGTTAGGTTAACTTAGATGATGTTTTCTGTTTTTTTTTTTTTTTTTTTTGTATTAAGGTCAAAAAATGGGCGTGGTCCACGAATGGGGTAATAGAAAATTGTCGATGGATGCGAACGTGGTGTCGGTGGATTTTCAATTTCGAACGAACGGTTAGTTAAATTTAACGTTTTTTTTTTTTTTGTATAAAATTTGTCCGTGAAATTTTTTAATGTTTTTTCGTTAATTTAATTATTACGATTCATTTTGAAAATAATATTTTGAACGTGAAATACGCCGCCATCTTTTTTTTTAATACGACCTGAAAATTAATCAAAGGAATTAAATGAAAGCAAACCGAAAAATTTTGAAAAAAAAAAAAGAGAGAGAGTGAGAGTCGACTCACCCGCCATTTTGAACGAATGCGGAAAATTTCACGGAAGGTTTAATAAATATTCTTGAACAATGTGATCGCTTAAATTAACCAATTGTAAATTGGATGCATCGTCCGGAAGTTTGTTGAATGATTCCACTGATTCCACGATTTCCCTTTCCTCTTCGAGTGTCATTCCATTTTCTACAACTTCCGATATTGTGACCATGCTCAAATCTATGGCAGGAGACGTTGTGAAAACTAATTCCCTTTTATCCGATTGACCCGAATCGAAATTGAGTTCTTCGTAAGTCACGTTTATCGGATCCATGTCTCCCTCGTGCGGGTACCTTAATCCGTATGCGTTCGTTTCGAGATTTCCGTTCACTTGTATTTCGTCGAACGTATTCGCATTCCTGAAATCCGTTTCGAGGTTTTCGAGGGATAATAATTCTCCTCCGCCTTGTTCGTCGCCGTTGCTGACGTACATTTGCGATTTCGAACGATCGTTTATCGTTCCGTCGTAAACTCCTCCGTTTCCCGGATGTTGGGGAAAATTTTCAGGTTGCATCAAATTGTTTTGATGATGATTGTTTTTCTCGTGAAACGTTTTGTAATGGGTTTGCAAGTGACTCGATTGTTTGAAAGCCGTGCCGCAAAAACACACGAACGGCCTTTTTTGCTCGTGTATTCTCATGTGCCTGTTCAATTCGCTTTTTCTCTTGAATTTTTTTTTGCACACTTGACACTCGGCATTTCGCACATCCGAATGTTTCATTAATATGTGTTCGTTCAATGCTGATAATTGATTGAAAGTATTGCCGCACAATTCGCAAACGACGCAAACTTTATTCCTGTGCAATCGTATGTGTTTGGTCAAATTAACTTTCAACGTAAATGTTTTCTTGCATTCGTCACATTCGTAAATGCTCTTGTGAACTCTCAAGTGCCACGTCAATTCACGTTGAGTTTTGTATTGTTTTCCACAGCTTTCGCATATTAATTTATCTTCGTAAACTTTTTCGTACTTGCTCTCGGGGAGTATTATCTTGGCTTTTTCAAAATGCGATTTCCTTTTCTCATGTTTTTGCAATGCGTCCATGGTTCTAAAACTCTTCACGCAATATTTACAATAATATTTTTTTTCCAATGAATGAGTCGCCATGTGATTTTTTAAAACGACATTTTTTTTAAATACTTTATGACATATTTCGCATTCGAATTTCGGTTCTGGACCTTTAACTTCGTGACCATCTTTTTTGTGCTTGTACAAATCAACTTTTGAAGTTACCGTTATGTCGCAAGTCAAGCATTTATAAGTACCCGATTTGTGAACCGAAACGTGAAACAATAATTGTTGCCTCCTGTAAAACTTCATTTTACATATTTTACATTTCCAAATTTTTTCGGATTCGTGAACAAGCGAATGCTCTTTAAATTTTTCTTTTGTAGGCAGTAACAAACCGCAGGACAAACAAACAAATTTCCCTTTGGAATGTTCTACTTGATAATGATTGTATAAACCTAAATGACGTCGAAAACTCATGGCACAAAATCTGCAAGGTATTAAATCCCTTTCCATTTTAATATCCGGATGTTTTTCTTTTAAATGATTTTTATAAAGTGCCCACGTGCTAAATTTTTCTTCGCAGTACCTACAATTATTATCATTATGACCCAATATGTGTTTTAAATAATGTCTTCGATACTTAAATTTTTCATCACATTCGGAACATTTTAACAATGATAATTTGCATTCTTTTTTTTTCTGATGCTTCCAAAATAATAAAATACTGTTAAATGTTGATCTACATAATTTACACGATAAGGGAGATTTGCCATGAGTTGTAAAATGCTGCAACAAAGCCGATTTAGTCTCGCATGTAGTCATACATCCAGGACATTTAAATATACTATTTTCATTTTCTACATAATCAGTATCGACATGTCTTTTTTTCCTAGCAGGCTTCTTTTTTAATAATTTATTTTCTTTTTTATCATTTAATAAATTTTTATAATTTATTGATTTAGTTGAATCCATTTTGTCAGAAATTAATGTTTGATTATTCGAATTTTGGTGTTTTTCTACATTTTCATTTTCATTAAGGCACTCTTTTACGTTTGTCTTTTCAATGAGAGAACTACTCGTAATATCATTATCAACATCTTTAAGTAATTGAGTAAAATTATTAAAATTTACATTATCATGTAGAATTTCACTTTCATTCAAATTTGAACACATGTCATTATCCACCAAATTACATTCATCACTATTAGAATCACAGTTTTTGTCTTCGATTGTAGGAGTGTTTTCGATTTGACAAATCGTAGAAACATTATCGTCTGAACTGTATGACTTTGTAATATTATTACAGTTAATTCCTTCTTTTTCATTGGGAATGACTAAACCATAATTTAAAGCACATTCTTTTAAATATCCCATTACTTCTGTTCGACCTGTTGAGTCTAAAGAGAGAACAGACTGCAACATTGCTTGTACCTGTAACAAAAGGTACTATATTTGAAAAAAATAATCTTAATAAATATCAGTCACTGTATTAATATATATTTTAGGCTACCTAACCTAAATTACTGTTAAATGGAGTAATAAAAAAGTAAAAAACCAAAATTTAAAATATTAAAATAATTTCAAAAATTAATAATTTAATTGGTACTTGTCTTTTTCATTTTGTTTACTTATGTATTTATTTAAAATTATCAAATCAATTTCGACCAGTTGAAAAATTTAAATTTTCTTTAAAAAATTTAATCAATTTTTACTATTTTAAAAAAATAAAAATAAATTAAAGTATTTAATCATATTAAATTTTTGTGTCCTGATCTTACTTGTTTTTTAATTGTATTTAAGTCCATTTTTATAAAAAAAAATGATATATACTAGCTTTATGTGATTACGTCTTTTTACTAAAATAAAAATAAAAAAATTTAATTAGGTAAGAATATAAATTAAATAAGTAAAAATAAATTTGATGTATTTCAAATTTAATAACATGTAGAGTGTATGTTCCAACCACCATTGACTCGTTTTTGTGATTATCGAGAACTCGAGCTTTCGATTAATCGTTTTTTCAACTCGATTTTTTATCTATAACTCGAGAAGAAGAAAACGTTAAAATATTTAAGAAATTTAGTATTTGATATTATATTTAAAAAAAAAATGATTTCAGAGCGTATAATTAATTATATGTAAGTAATTAATGCTTTTTTTCAAAGTAATTAAAAACCATTTATCGTTAATTATCCGATAATTAGCTAGAAAAAATAATAAATAATATAAAAAACTTCAAAAAAACTCTTTTAATTATTGTTAGGTTAAAGAAAGTATAATTTCTGGTAGCAACTTTTGTTTTTGTTTTTATTTATAATATTATAAATTGCCTTTTGGGATATAAAAAAAAGAAAAATGAAAACAGTAGTCACGGTTAAAAATAAATCAATAAAAAATTGACAACCTGTCTTGCTGGAAAACAAAAAAAAAAAAAAAAGTTTTATTATTATTTTGTTTTCACTTCCTCATAGCCTATTTCCGCATGAATAGTTATAAAAAATCTTCATTTAAATAAAAAATAAAACAATAATGGCAATTTATCAAGGGAAGGCTATATATATAACGAAAAATTTTTTATATTCAAAGGTTTTTGTTAAAAATCGGAACACTTGCTCACCTTAAAAATCCACCTTCATATTACTACAGGAAGTTGTTATTTCGCATTTAAATAAAACATATTAATAAATATACTTCAATACGTGATGAAAAGGTCATGAAGTCGAAGGTAGGAACAAAACAGTTTCAGGTACACAATACAAATAAAAAATTTTATAATTTCCGGTTCGTGAGTTCTTGACAATTTAATTAACCTCGTACTTTGAATTGTTTGTTATTCGGAAACAGTCTCGGGTATAAAAACAATATGAATCCCTAAAATCCCCCCATTTCATTCCCTTACCTCCTTTCAAACACTCATTGCATAAAACGAAACCTTTCGATTTTAAATATATTATTAAATTTAAAAAAATTATAAATTCAAAACCTGATATCTGTAATAAAGGCAAGGGGACCTCCCTCCCCAATCGACCTTCGGTTTTTCCAGGTACACTCTTCAAATCACTATAAAATTGTTGAATTAGGTCAGTGTCGTTGTTTTTAATAGGAGCAATCTTTAAATGTTGTGTGGTCGTCATTTGTTTTTAGTTTTCTTTTTTTTTTTATAATTTTTTGCCAACGGTTCCTTAGCCGTACGAAATTATAAAAAAAAAAAATTTTTTTTTTTCCAGTACCGCCAACCTTTTAATTGTATAAGAGTGACAAGGTTTACAAGTGATAGAAGCTGTCAGTTTTTATTTAAAAAAAAAAATTAATATCTGTCTTTCTTTTTCCTTAAATGATTTATAAAAAAAAAAAACTTTTGTTATTTAAAATCCTTCACATAAATCTATTAATTTCTCTTATTGAAGGTATTATCATTATTATTTTTTTCTTTAAATGAGTGAAAGTGATTATTATGTATTCAATAATAAAAACTTATTAAAGAAAAAAATTCATTCATTCATTCGTTCATTAACGTTACAAACAAAACGTTTTTTTTTTAAATCAGGATAATAAAAAAAAAATTTAAGGTTAAATAATAATAATAATAATGAATTAATTACAATATATTTATGTATATTATTTATAAATAAATAACCCATAACCCTTATTTAAAAAAAAAATTTTTTTAGTATTATTTTGTTTGGCACACGAATCAATTTTTCATTGAAATAATAAATTTATTTATACCTTAAAGAAAATTTTAAAAATAATAATAATAATAAATACATTATTTCATGATGGCGATTACAAACAATTAATTAAAATGATTTATTTAATAAATAAAATAAATCATCATGACTGTGTAAAAATTTTTTTTTTTTAAATTATTTTAAATAATCACATTCATTCTTACAAGTATCACAGATCATGCTTTTCATTTTGAAACGATTTTTTTTTCTCACACCCCCTCTTCTCCCTCCCCTACCCTCCCCTTCCCCTATTAAAAAAAAAATAATAAAATATTTAAATAATTTTTTACAAACAATTTAATTAAAACTACTCGAAAAAAAAAAAAAAAAAACAGAAACTTAATGTGATATATTTTACTTAAATCTAAAAATTTATATTAATAATAATAATAATAATAATAATATTTTAAATATGGCGCGATACATTATCACATTATTTAAGTAATGTCTATCAACTAATTTTTTTTCTAATAAAATAATAATAATAATATTTAAAATGAACGATTTAACATTAACAAATAAACGGTTAAAAATTAAGTTACATACCCTTAAATAACTATAAATAAAATAATAATAATAATAATTTGTATAATTAATAACTGTCTAAAAAAATAAACGAATCCTTTTATTTATTTGTTTATTTTTTTTTTTACCGAATTAATCAACAAAACAAATTTCAAAAGGATTACCTTGAGTAAAAAAAAAAAAAAAAGGAAAGAAAAAAAGAAAAGTTTTTTTTTTACACCAACACACGCCCTAAAAAAAAGTTAATAAATTAAAAAATTTAATTGCAATTTATTTTTTTTTTTTTTGACAAAGTCATCAGTAATATTGTTCGGGGTCACACACACGTACACACATACTTCGATCATGTTATTGCAAAAAAAGAAAAAGGAAAAAAGGAAAAAAAAATGTTTGAAATGTTTATTCGAGTCTTAATGAAAAATTAATTAATAAACGAATGAAAACGTGGCAAAAGAAAAAAATTGTTAAAAATTTTTTATTACCGTAATATATTCAAAAGTATTAGAAAGGGATTGAGAAAGAGGAAAAAATTTTATTTGACCTTTTTCAGGTACCCGATTTAATCGACGCGTAAAAATTAGGTTAAATGATAAAAAAAAAAGAAAATTATTTAGTTCGGAGAAAAATAAATATTGACGTCATTGAAGTGTAATGAACTAATGACATTTGTTGATAATATTTATTATCATTATCTTTTTTTTTATTTTATTGGGTGTTAACAAAGCCTTTTGATCCGTCAGGTCCCTTAGGCATGCGTATAACGTTTTCAGGTATGTGTGGAGAACAATTAGACGTACAAACGGATTGAGGTCCGAACGATGTCCGACTGTTCGAATGCATTAGAGGATGATAATTGCAATTTCCAGGAGAACCGAATGATGATCTCCTCGGTAAATCTACCAAATCCCTCGAATTATTTCTCGATAAAAATGGCGGAGCGAAAACATCGGATCCTACGGAATCCCTGCTTAATCTACGGTAATTTGTTATATTTTCCGATGGCAAACTGTCACGACTAAAACGTCTTTGCAATCCGCTTTCGGTGCTAGATATCGAATCACGGCTAAATCTTCGTCCGAGATCAATAGAACGGGTATAAGAACCAGAACTATCCGAACCGGATACGGAATCGTGACTGCATCTTCTTAAAAAGCAACAGGATCCATCGAATCCAGAGAGTCGTCTTAATGCCGGGATTTGATATCCGTTTTCCTGAATTTCTTTATTGAGTGAATATCGACGATAACCGCTCGGTACGGGAGAATCGTAACCGGAGCCCGAACTTGAGTACCTTCTTTCACAGTGTTTACAACAACTACAAGAAGGTCTATCTCGGTACGAATCGGGACAAACGAAATTCGATTCCATAACTCGATTAGCCGAAAATCTTCTTTGTAATCTTGGTATGTCGGCTCCTCTCAGCGGGTGCGGAGATGATGATCTCCTTGAATAAAATTTTGCATCTTCTGTTTCTGAACCGCTTGGACAAGATGAAGAAAGTTCACCTTCCATAAATTTATTAACCACAGTCTTTTTATTTTGCATTCTTTTCTTTTTTTCACTCGGGGGTGCATTCAATTCAATTATTTTCATATCGTGACTTCCTCCTCGGTATTCGTCATTCATCCGATCAATGGCTAATTTGGCAGATTCCGTTCTATCGAATTCAATTAACGCAGATGTTGTTCCATTCATTTCAGGATGCTTGTTGGCAAATGAGCGTACGTCTGCAGGTATGGAACTTCCAGGTCTTAATATTCTTATAAGTGCGATTTCTCCAAATTCTCGGAAAATTTCAGCAACGTTTTCTATTGTCGGTTTATCCATGGGTAAGTTAATAACGACAATTGTACGAGATGGCGTGGTTTGATCGAACGGAGGAAGTGGATCCACTCTTCTCAATTTGGTTTTAGCTTCGTTTACTTCCAACTTTGTGGATTTTTGTAAAGAGTAGGCTACCACCCTCCAGTCTTTTGCCAAATGTTTAACTCTTTTAAAACTAGATATTAATTTTAACGATACATAACCTTCTTTGTTTCTTCTGACGTGTTTTAAAAGGAAAGCATCCTTGGCTATGTTTTCGTCGGAAAAATAAAATTCAACTTGTGCCACGATCCTTTTTACCAAATCATCATCGGGAGGTTCAAATGGAGATTCTTCTTCATCTTCTTCTTCTTCCTTTTTATTCTTATCGATAACGTTTCCTTTTTCTTTAAATCCGGTTGTTTCGCATCCGGAATCTTTTTCGCTGGTACCAGCATCATCACTTCCACTATCCGTCGTTTCATTTTCGGTACCACATTGTTTTTTTTCTTCTGTTTTTATTTTTTGTTCCATGTCACTTTGTGCGCTGTCGTAATTTAAACAAACGTCACTATCCGTGTTGCTATCGACACTTTCCTGCTTGGATAAATTTTTCAAATTTGTTATTTCTTTATTATTTAAATCGTAGGTTTTAATGTCGGATTCTTCAATCGTTTCAAGTTCTTTTCCTAATAATTCTTGTTTATCAAAAATGACAGATTTATCAATTTCACAAGACATATTTTATATAATTCACACTCAAACACTTTTTATTAAAAATAAATAATAATAATAATTTTTAAAATATACTTCACCGTTTAAAAAAAAAAAACCGTTAAAAAAATTTAAATAAAACGGTCATTTTACATAATACTAATAATAATAATAAAAAAAAAAAAAAAAACGTTTTTTCAAAACGGATTAAAATTTTTATTTGAAACTCACGTTTTTTAAAATTAATTTTTTTCTTATTTTCTTTCTTTATTATTATTATTTACTAACAATCCTTTCCGAAGCTTTTCTATAACTTTTAGACAAGCACATGGAAAATCGCGATTCGATTACGATGAAAAAAAAAAAAGAAAAACACGCCGAGTGTGGGCTCTGCGTCCGTGCAAAACAAATTAAACTATAAACTTTTCAATGTCAATTCAAGTCTTTTATAAACATTAGCAAGTTAAATGTCTCGTAATGTAAAAAGAAAAAATAATGTTTAACTTACGGATAAAAAGAAAAAATAAAAAAAAAATTCGGAAGGAAGAAAACTGGATGACTTTGATTATGAAAATCGGAAATAGTAATAAAAAAAAAAAAAACTCGTGATAGAATTTTCCGATATAAATTTTCTTTTTAAAAATTTAAACAAAATTATTTTTATTTAAATTTTTAATTTCGCGACTGTTATCCATTCATAAATATACGTCACAGGTATATTATGAAAATTAAATTTTAATTGCAGGTTTTATATTACATGTTTAGATATAATTCATTAATTATAAATATTAATATTAATAATAACAATAATAATTTAAATAAAACGGAGGCGGTCGTGTCATAATGAAAAAACATAATTTTAATTAATTTTAATAATTTTTTTATGCAAAAGAAGACTTAAAAAATTTTTTTTTTGTTTTTAAATGTTGGTATTTATTAAAAACGCAAATAATTCGAGGGGAAACACATGGAAAATGTTTTTTTTTTTCTAACGGGGAAGTTATTAAACATCCTTGATTGTGGAAAATAACACAAGACAACCGTAAAAAGGGCCTTGATGAGTTTGATTGCCCGGAAGAGACTGAAATATGAAAAATATATTTTTTTCACTCAAATACACACACACACACACACACACGCACACGCACACACAGAACTTTATACATTTTTGAAAATAGGACAAGGATATTGTCAAACATTTTACGTAAACAACTTCCAATAAAATTTTTTTTTTTTTTTTTATTAAATAATTACGTTTTCTGCGGGAAAACTCTATGATTAAATAACACTATTAAAACTTTTTTTTTTTTTTACGGCGATTTATTTTATTATTATTATAATTATTATTATTAATATGTATTTTATCTTTTAGGAAATAAAATCATTTAATTTTCCAGTTTCCTGTTTTATAACTACTACGTTTAAAAAAAAAAATATACGTAAATGGTAGAGGTCAGTGTCGGATATCTATAATATTAAAACCCTAATTTTTATTTTTTTTCTCGTGATTTTTGCGTTGTTTTTTGGGGGGAGGGAGGGGGGGTTTAAATTTTGGAGGAAAGAAGTTGGATCACATAGATGTTTTTTTGTTCGACTCTTTGTTCTTTAAAAAAAAAAAAGAAAATTTTTAATTTATTTAATCGAAAAACCGTTTTAATAAATGAAAAACTATTTTCAATGACGTCACTAAACATAATTTTGATAAAATAATTATTTAATAATTTATGTACGGTCGGAAATATAAAAACATGAAATTAAAATGTAAATACTTTGGATTATAACGCGATAAAGGTTTATAAAAAAAAAAAAAAAAAAAACATGGCGAGTGCAAGGATTTTATTTAAATAAATAAATTATAAATTTACAATAGAACACCTATTAAAAAAAAATTTTGCCCGAAAATAAATAATTTATTTATAATCGCCTTAAAAAAAATTGTTAAAATTGTTAAAATGATTTATATTTACACGTGGTGGTATACATATTAAAAAGTCGTTATTTATTTATTTATTTATTATTAATTAATAATAATAATAATAATAGAAAACTAGATCGTGTGTTGTTGTTGTTATTAAATAGTAAAAAAAATTATTTGAAATCAATAACCCGTCCGTGTTAAATCGATTACTCGATAATCTATCAAATATAAATAAAATAAATAAATAAATAAATAAATAAAATTTATTATTAATTTTTTTATTATTATTATTATCGTTCAGAAATTTTAATAATTATTCAATAGCGTAAGAAAATTAAAATGAATCGTCAATCACGAATCCTTTTTTTTTTATGCTCGTTATCAATAATAATAATAATAATAACGCAATTATAATTTTGATGTGATTTAGCTCAGGTATATTCTCTCTCTCTCTCTCTTTTAATTTAATAAATTTATTTGAAAATAAATAAATTAATAAATTTTACGAGAAAAAAAAATTCCGAAATTATTACCTAACACGTGATAAATTAATCCGATTCTTTAATCCTTTAAGTAATTTAAATTTATTTTAAAAATTTATTCGAGGTAGGTAGGCTGAAGTAGTATGAGGGCGGGGAGGGGGGCGGGTAAAATAGGAAAAATAATAATAATAATGATAAATAATACGGTTTTTACGACGGAGGTCATCGTTTTGACTACGTGTATTAATTCAGGTGTCCCCCCAGTATTTCATATAAATTTTTTTTTTTTCTAAGAAAAATAAAATTAAAATCACAAACGATGCGTTAAAAAAAAACGTGTAATGCGACACAACTTTTAAAATAATAATAATAATAATAATCGATATGCAATATTTATTATTATGAAAAAAAAAAAAAACTTATGATTTAAGTAGATTTTTTTTTTGGAATAAGTAAATAACAAGGTCGAATCAATTATTAATAATAATTAAAAAGTATTAAATTGTAAAAAAAAAAAAAAAAAAAGGATTAAAAAGGATTTCGTGTGTTAAACATAAATATAATTAAATTAAATCGATGGATCGATCGATCGATCGATGAATCGATAATCTTTTAATTCATAATAATAAGGTAATCGAACTATAAACATCGATCGTAATATTTGATTTAATTTTTTTTTTTTTTAAATAAGAACGAATTTAAATCCCTTTCGGCAAGGACTCCTGCCATTTAATATAAAAAAAAAAATTTAAATTTTATTTTAAAAATGATTCATTGAGACCTTTATATATAATTAAAGTTATAAACTTTTCCAAAAACTTTTTTTTTTTCTAATATATTTAAAACATTTTATTTACATTCGATCAATTTTTTATCATTATTGATTATTATTATTGTTTGTAAATATAATCATTCATCATCATCATTATTATAACAACACAATAAAAAATGTTTTCAGGGGAAAATTTTCACCTTCGTGTTAGTTTTTCTTTTTTCTTTTTTTTTTATGTATAGTCGGTTAAGTTAGGACAAAGGTGACCTTTTGAATAATGATAAATAAAATATTAAAAATATATTTTGATGTTAAAATGATTAATTAAAATCCAAAAAAAAAAAATAATAATAATCATAATCGTTTAATTAAAACTCAATACAATAAATTATTTTAAAGAAGGTTATTTAGAAAAAAAAAATTACTTTAAAATAAAATAATAACTAATTTTTATTTCGAGTGAGATTAATAAAAAAAAATATATTTAAGTAAGTTTTTAAAATAAATAATTAAATAAAATAAAAAAACGGTGAAATTTTACACACACACACACACACACAAGTGAAGTATATATCAAAGATGTTAACCTTGGCCTAGAACAAAATTTTTTTTTTTGTCTGAATTTAATTTTTTTAAAAATAAAAAAAAAAAAAAAAACATCCAAAAAAGGTACTGTCATGACTGTGTGTTCAGCCAAATATATATAAATAAATATGTCGTCGTCGTTGTTGTTGTCTTCTGCAATACATATAAAATAATAATTTATTTTATTTTTCAAGGGTTCTTCTTTTTTACAAATTTAACTTCCTTCTTTTTTTCGTGGTCAAAAAAAAAAAAAAAATAACAATCGACCTTGATTTAACAGACTTTAAATAAAAAAAAAAGAAAATTTAATGATATATACTCTTTAAACAATAATAATAATAATAATAAATGGTAAAATACATAATGACACACACTATGAGTGATTGATAATTTTTATTAGGCAATATTTACTAATGATAAAAAGTAATTTAAAATAATATAAAATTAAATTTAAATTTACAAAAGTTTTTGTTATAATTTTTTTTATTTCGAAAAATAATGATAATAATAATTTCATAATTTTTTTTTTTTTAAAATTAGTTTAAGGTTTATTTTAAATTAAATTTCATAGATATATTTGTTTGAGTGGTGTGTCAGTCAGTCACATTAAGATAAAATAAATTGTGTAAGTTGTTTTTAAAACAATAATAATAATAATAATAATAAATTATTATTTTGTTTGTATACTGAGACACTTATGGACAAGTGAAATTGACATTTAAAAAGTTATATTTTTCCTTTTAAAAAAAAAAAAAACATTTTTTTTTTTTTTTTAATGAAAAGAAAGTATAAAAGTAGAAGGTTGGGTGGAGAATAAAGGTGATTTAAGTAGTTCAAGGCGAAGGCGTGCAGGTTATTTATATGGTTGCATATGTTTGTAAAGCTAGGAGAAATGCAATTGTAAACCAAAATATTAATTATGTTCTCCTGTTCCTTTACTATTATATATATTTTTTCTGAATGGCAATCGATAAAAAACGGTAGCGATTTAAAAAAAAAAATTTCTTCAAACTCTTTGACTTGACTTTGACCAGTATAATTTTAAGTTCATTGCTCTTTTTTTTTTAAAAAAAAAAAAAAAAAAAACTAAAAAAATTTCCCCATGAATCATATTCGATATTATATTTTTTTTTTTTGGCAAATCAATAAAATTTAAATAAAGGAAAAATTTGAATGAATCCAAGAATTTAAAAAGAAATTTTCTTTTTAAAAAAATCGTCAATAAAAATATCTCATATAATATATTTAAAAATAAAAGTAATGGTACTAAAATTTTTTATTTTATTTTATTTTTAACCAAAAAAAAAAAAAAATACGATGAGTTAAAGTGAAGAAATAAGCTACAAAGTTTTTTCTTGAGAAATTTTTTATAATGGCCTCGAATTATTTATTTAAATACGTAAATTTAATTTTTTTTTTTTTTTTAAGGATTGAAAAAAATAAAATTTTAATAGGAAATCATATATTTGCGAAATAATTGGCGCGGTATTAGATGTTGATGTTGCGACAAAAGTCTCTTTAACTCAATAAATGGAGTTTGTAAATTTTAAAAGGCGGTGAAAAGCAGTGTTGCCATTTTTCTATTATCTTTAATTTCTTTTAATCTGAAATACACGCTACATATTGCTCTAAAAAAGAAACCATTTAAAAAAATAAATCGTTTTTATAAACTTTAGTGTTTTATAAATCCGAAATAATTTTTTTCTATAAATTTAATTAGTTTCGGGTAATGGGTATGTAAAAGAAATTTGACAACAGAGGTATCACGTGACTAAAATACCTTTTTAAGCGCATTTTGCAGGTAAAGTTTATGCAAAATTTATGTGAAATCCAGTGTTTATAATTGTTTTTAAATTATTTAAATGAATTAGTGTAAATCAATTTAATAATCGAGCTATTTTAACATATTGGAATTTATATTTGTGAGATTTTTTAATGATTTAAAATCTGATTGAAATGATGGTTGTCATCAATGGCCTAGAGCCTAAATCAGCGTTGAAATGGCGTCCTTCGCACATGGCCTGAAATGACCGGGTTCTTATGTCCTCTTTGTTTTTTTTTTTTTTTTTTTCACTTTTTTTTTAATATTCAATTTTTTAAAAGATTTTCCGTTTATTTTTTTTTAATTAATAACATAAATGAAAATGATTGTAATTATAATTGTACTCGAATGTTAATGGAGGGGACGGCCTCCTTGCAAGTTCTGTAACCTTTGTGTGATTACGGACTGACTCAGTCATTTCAAAAATATTTCTTTGTCCCAATAATTTCATCTCGATTAGATTTTTCACCAATAAATTGTTGTTATGTTTTCATAATTTTTCTAACATCTAAATAATCACTCAAATATTTCAAATTATATTTCTTCATAAAATTTTTTAAACCTAATTAATTACTAATATTGTCTTTTGTTGTCAATTATACTGTTAAGTTGTTTTATTAAGTTTTCCTGGCATAGATATAAATTTTTTGTATTTTACTTATCAATTTACTCATTTTGTGTTACAAAAAACATTTATATTAGTAGGTTTTTGTTTCCCTTATTTTGAAAGGTTACTAAAGTTAATAATAATATTAATTGTAATTTTATATTCTTAAGCCCTTTATAGATTACATAATTATTGATATTTCATTCAAATGTTTTTAATTAATTTTAAAAAAAATTTAAGCTCAGAAAAATTAATCAATCTCATTTTTCTTTTTAAATGCTCTATTTTTGCTTTAAATTAAAATTTTTAAAATTCAACGATTGTTCGTTATGTTTTTTAAAAGTTTCATAAGTTTGTGAAATTTAATATCATAAATTATTATTTTAGTACTGTTTGTCGTTATACAATATCACATTTAAAGAAATTTTCAATAATATTGTGATTAATTATCTGCATTTGTTTTGACTACCAGCAATACTAATTTTTAAAAAAATTTAAATGCAGGTTTAAGTGTTTAAGTGTTGCATCAGAAATTATCGGAAATATTTTACTTATGTATAATTTTAATAAATTCAAAAAATGATTCGAAATTGTTTGACATTATGTAATAGTTGATGTAATTTTCTCATTCCATTGTATTTTATACTCGTTTTAACTTTTATCACATATTCAATTTCTTAAATTTTAAAATTACATTTATAAAAAATAAAATTTAAACTCATTTGTTTTCTATAAAGTTTTTTTTATTTTTATGTTTTATAGTTGTAAATAGTTGATTGTACATAGACTGGCAAAGATGAGCACACAAAATCGCACCGCTCATCGCGGTGGAAAAAACTCTAAATTAGATTCTGTTCCTTTGACCAAATCACAGAAAAATGATTCCAAGATGGATACAAATAAAATTTTGGACAACCCAAAAGCTCAACCTACTGCAGAGCAAATGCGCATTGCACAAATCATTGACAGAAGAACAGATGACAGTAAACTGAAAGAAAAAATAAAACAGGTTTATTATATTATAGATAATGTCGAATTTGTTTTGTTAGCAAAAAAAAAAGTCAACTTATTAAATGACTCGGTTACAGATAATGGATGCAACCAGAAAGACTGAAGATGAAGTAATCACAGCTCTCCATGATTGCGATAATGATTTAGATAGTGCAGTAAACATGCTTTTGGAGGGTGAAGCACAAGGCGAATGGGAAACGTCTGGGAAAAAGAAAAAAAATCGACAAACAAATAACATGAAAAATGCCGATGCAACCAATAATAAAAATGCAGGAGAGGATGATCTTGAGGAAGAGACTCCAGCACCTGCTACCAACACTGAAAGGGAGAGGTCACGAAACAGAGGAGGTGGTCCACCACGTTTAAGAGGAAGAGGTGGAAATGAAAACAGAAATTGTAAGTTTTATTAAATGAAAACTTTTTAATTTTAAAAACATTATTTGTATTAACTATCGAAATATAAAAAAATTTAATTTTTTTTAAGGGCGAGGACGAGAAAATAAAGAAAATGAACAAAACAATGAAGAAGGATACAACCGAAACAGAGGAGATGGAGGATTTAGACGAGGTGGGCGAGGAATGTCTAATGGTCCCGGAGGGCGATCAGGAAGAGGTGGTAGAAGTGGAGGGCGATTAGGTCCAAGAACTTTCCAAAGTAGAGATAAATCTGGCGCTGGTAGCTTTCCACGTTCAATTGAAACTTGGAATAATCCACCTGGACCTGATGCGTCCGGGGAAAACAATCTCAAAATGGGTAAATATTTAATTTAATTATCTGCATTTTATTTTATTTTATGTAATTGCAATTGCATTAACAAATATTTTTTTTTTTTTTGCGTTTAGAAAATTGGGGTGACGACTTTACGCCCGAAGATTGGGATAACGAAGAGTACACAGGGTCTTTGGCTGATAGTAAGGTATTTACCCCGAGTGGTGGTATAGAAACTTCTGTAGTTGCTCCTGAACCTCTGCAAGACTCTTCTAATCAAGAAATTTTAATGTCAAATACAGCTCAAGAATATCACCAAACTGGTCAGCTGCCTCCTGTAAGTTTTGTTTCCAATTTTGTAGCTCGTTCACTTTTTACAAAAGGGGAGATCATTCTTTGAAATGGTGGTAGTTCTTTATCATTTTTTTAGAAAAATTGCATCAGGAGCAGCTAGATTAGTTTTGTACATTTTAATAATTATTTTTTAAAATATGATATATGTGTATTTTTTTTTTGTTTTTTATTTTTTATTTTTAAATTATTTTTATTTTGTTTAAAGGTGCAGTACTTCATTCTTCTTATTACGCGATATTCAGGTTTAATCTGCCACCTTTTCAGGGTGAATGATCAAGCCCTTAAATTTAAAACTGATTTATTTAAATATTAAATTTTTTTATTTAAAATAATTTTTCAAAAATTTTCAAGTAATTATTGAGGAAAATGAAGTATTTAACCAAACAATCATATTTTAGCTTTTTATATTTTTTTTTTTTTTTTTTTTTTTTTGCTTTTTAAAAATATTTTTTTTTATTTTATAATTTTTTATTTATTTTTTTATACGTAAAATTTAAAAAAAAAAAAAAAAAAAAAATAGTGATATAAACTTTTTCTTATTCTTATTAGAGTCCGCTGCCTGTTGGGGTCGGGACATTAAATGCGGCCCAAACACAATATCTTAGCCAATTAACTGCCCAATCAGAGAATCTCAAATCAGCTGTCGGAATCGGTGCAGGAAACGCAGGTTTTGGTCAAAATACAAACAATACATATGGGCCAAATGCACCTTCTTCCTACGGCCAGACCGATCCCTTAAAATCAGTTGGAAGCTCCGTTTCTTATAATCAATCATCGGGGGGAAATACTTACCAGTCTTCAGCTACTTCCTACGGTCCGTCCTCGGCGAATAATTCTTCCTATGGGCCTTCAGGAACAGGAAGCACCGCTTACGGTCAAACAACTGGCTACGGTCAATCTGGACAAAGTTCATATGGTACTGGCTCTGCTTCAAGTTCTTACGGGCAAACGTCTAGTAATTATGGACAGAGCGCAACGAATTATGGGCAGCAATCTCAAAGCGGATATGGGCAATCCCAAACATCTGCATTCCAAAGCCAACAAAACGCTAATACTTATGGCCAAACTGGATCCGGTATGTCTAATGCTACCACTTATCAAAGTGGTGGGTCTGGAAATGCTTATTCGGGTACTAACGCATCTACGAATGCTTATCAAAATTCAGGCACTAGTGCCAATTTATATCAATCAGCCGGTTCAGGTAGTGGTGGTTCATACCCAACTCCTGGCACCGTAAACAGTGAGTTATTGCTTTCTATAAGAATATTTTACCGAAACTAATTATTTAGTGTAAATTTTCAATTTTCAGATTCGGGAACAACTTCAGGGGTTTATCCTGGCACCGGATCACAAGGAGCCTCTTACCCTAATCCTGCATCTCAGAACGTAAATTACCAGGGTACGACGGTTAGTGGTAGTAATTATTCCGGAGGTTCAGGTGCTGGCCCAGGAGGAAGTAATTCTTATCAAAGTGGGTCCGCTTCTTTCCATTCTGGTAGTCAACCTTCCGTTTTCACATCTCAAAATTACAATAATTCCGCCGTAAACACTTATGGTAGCCAACTACCTGATGGTTCTGTTGCAGGAAGTGACTCGGTACCTTCTCAACCTCCTAGAACCAAAACTCAAAGGGCGCGTGTTCCACCACCTTCCAAGGTATGCAATCATTTTAAATTTTTCAACCTTTTTTTTTTTTTTCTTTTTTTGTATACTATACACATATATTTTTTTAATTATTATTTTTCTTATAAAATAATAGATACCTCAAAGTGCTGTAGAAATGCCTGATGATTCTATTAATGCAAGTATTAGTTTTCTCGACGTCCAGTTTGGTGGTTTGGAGTTTGGAAGTGAAGGCTCAGCGTTTGACGGATCTGGGCCTGCAACGTCTGTTGCAACTCCTGCAGAAACTACTTCTACTCCTACTACCTCGGATACGCAAAATGCATCATTAGATGGTTATTCTGCTACAAATAGCTCATCCGTAAAAAATAGTCAAGCGACACTAGTGGGAGCACTCGCGGCTAAGTCAGTGGTTAGTGTTCATTTTACTTTTTTTTTTTTTTTTTTGTTTTTTACAATGTGGAATACAATTAAATATTTTTTTGAAAATTATTTAGTAACTATTGATAAATAATTTTTTTTTTTTTAGCTTACAAGCAATGATGCATTAGGTATGCAATCATCTTCTGATCACAAAACGGGTTACAGCACACCATCTTCTCGTGTGGCTAGTTCAAACAGTGGTTTAGATTTATCGAAATCCGACGTAGGATTATCTTATTCAGCACCCAGTTCGGTCAATTATCAATCATACCAAAGTCAAAAAACAAATTCAACTGGATCCGGTGTTTATCAACAAACCGGGTATTCCACGACAAATTTCACTTCGTCAACCCCTCAAGTTACTTCGTCCACGTCTTATTCATCGAATCAAAGCCAGCCGAACAATTATAATAATCAATCTACGGCAAACAATTCATTTTCTAGTAATTCTTACTCCCAAGCTTCAAACGCCGGCGTCGTTAATTACCCAAATAGTGTGAATACTTATCCATCGTCTAATTCATTTCCAAATTCAAATCAACCTTACCAAAGTTCTGGTCAGTCGGTTTACGGCTCAGCTCTTTCATCGGGATACACTTCCACTAATCAGTATCAGAATAGCTACGGTAATTCTACAACTTCTCAAAATAAGTTAAATTCAGCTTTAAGTAGTTCTACAAAAGATTCTCCGGAATATGCCGCCTCAACTACAGTAGCAAGTTTAACAAGTACCACTAATAGCGGTTTAAGTAATGCTACTCTTACATGTGTTGCACAAACGGTTGTTACTACTTCAACTAAAGTTTCTAGTGCTACGAGTACGTTAATTTATTTTTCGTATTTTTTTTGAGGGTTTTTTTTTATAAGATCATAACTAAGAGTAAAAATATTTTTTTTTTAGCAAAGAGTAGTGTTATAGCCAATATTCCTCCTGGTGTACCGCCTATTATGGGAACACATCAGTATATCATGAGTCAAGGGGGGATGCCATATTTTCAAACTCCAATGTATAGTTTTGAAGAGCTTCAGCTCTTGCAACAAAGGATACCACACATGGTAAAAAAAAAAATTTTATTACCTTTTTATTCTTACTAATATGTACGAGAAAAAAAAAAAAGTTTAAAAAAAAAAAAATTGTCTCGATAAAGGCAACAGGGTACTACGACATGGCGTATCAAGCCCCAACGAGCCTCGCTACAGGCCGTGATAGCATGGGAAGCGTAGCCTACACCATGTCAGATGCGAGGTACACGAGAGGAGATAATAATGCTTCACCCGTGCCTTCCACGTTATCTCAACAGGTATACCGTAGACATGTTAAAAGCTAAAAATTTCTTTTTTTTTTTTCTATATTCGCATAACCTTTTTTGCTTTTAATGTTTTAAAGACGGCGACCCAACCTCACCAGCAACCGATGATGAATCATCCGTCTCTACCTCCTGGTTATGCGTATTTTTACGGTGCTGCAGGCATGATGCCGGGTAGTTTTCAGTATGGAACTCCGGCTTTGTATCCGGTAATTATAAAAGAATTAATTTACCTCTTGCCATTCGCCGCTACCCTATCGGAAGTAATGATAAGTATTTACGTTCTCAGCTTCCGGCAGCAACGAACGCTCACGGAAGCACTACAAGTCAATACCCGAAACCCGGAAGCTATTCGGCTTACGGATCAGGTTACGAGGGATTGTCGCAAACTCAAGACTACACGAAATCAGCTTACGTTTCTACCATGTCGGCAAACCAGGCGCAATCTAAAAGCGGAGTTGGTGTCACTTCCGGGTCGTCAGCATCCAGTACATCTGATCTCAATGCGTCCATGTACGGGAAGTCTCATACGGCTTTAGGCAAAGTTAATGTAAGTTAATGTCATTATCAGAAAAAAAAAAAAAAAAAAAGTTTATAATTTCTTTTTTCTATCATTTGATACCTATTATTATTATTATTATCACTATTATTTTATTTTTATTTTTTTTTATTTATAAATATTAAAAATGAATTTTTCATTAAATTTATTTTGAATTAATTTCTTTTACGTGTGTATATGTATTTAGGTACACACACACACACACACACACACACAGGTGCACTCATATTTTGTATGTAATTTTTACGTGTGCATTTGTACTATTATTATTATTATTATAAGCACTCACATATTTATACTTATATAATTGTATAATATTGGTATATATATATATATATATATATATATATATAATTAATAAGTATTTTTTTTTTTTTTTGGAGACAAAAAATGTGTAAAAAACAATAAAAATTTGTCATTTAATTTTTTTTTTTTGTTGCTTTGTGAATAATGTTTTATTTTATAATGTTGGTATAATTTTCAGGGGTTCAGGTTATTTACATAAAAGAGTTATCAAAAAAAATAAATAAAATATTTGTGGTGATATGTTTAATAAAAAATAAAATTAATTGCTTTGTTATTATTTAGTAGAAAGGTTAAATTGTTTGAATACTTAGGAGAGAGAGAGAGAGAGAGAGAAAATTTTTTGTTATTAAATAAAAGAAATGATGACGAAACAAGATTATATTCAAGGGAATTTGAAGAGGGGGGGGGGAGGAGGAGGAAGGTGGGCGAGTGACTTGACGTGAAGACTTGACTTGTGATTTTTGTTTTGAATTTAGTCATACGAGAAACAAGGATTTCACTCTGGCACTCCTCCACCTTACAACTTAATAGGAAATCAAAACGCCGGAATGGCTCATAGTGGTGCTTACGGACCTCAACTCTTCATTCCCACATTGGCTCCGCATCAATCGCACCACAGTGCTACCACGCTTTTACATCAGCCACTTCATCAGGTCAGTTTTAACGAGTCAATAAATACCGAAAAAAAAAAAAAATTTTTAACTGGCTGTTCTAACGCTTTTGTCCACAAAAAACCTAACATTTATAACTAGGATGTTGAAAGGAAATAACAGAGTTTCCAGGATTATTGATTACGTTGATTGGGGTTTGGGATCGAAGGGTTGGGGGGGGGGTTGGGTGGGGGGTGAATCAAAAAGGACCAATTTACCTTTCGTGAATTTTTTTTTTTTTTTTAATAAAATAAATAACAACAAGGCAAATTATTAATATTTTTGTTATGCATATTACCGCAGATTTTGTTTAATTATTATTATTATTATTGTTATTATTATTATTATTATTATTTATTTTATTTTTTTAATATCTAGTGTTTAAGATTTATTTATTTTTTTTTTTTTTTTTAAATTATTGAATTGTTTAAATTTAATTATGTTATGTAAATTTTTTTGTGATTATATGATATGAATTGTCATATTTTGTTGTGATACGAACACGCGCACACACACACACACACATCATGCATACACGTACCGAGTGAAAGTCATTTAATAAAAAATAAAAATTGAAAGAAAATTTTAATTTTGTTTCAGGATTCTGGAAGCAGTAGCGGACCTCGGACTCAATCATCGGCTCAAGCCAACAAAACGGGAAACAAGCAGAATTACAATGCATACTGGCCACAAACAATGAATTGAACACACCCACACACCCATACTCACACACACACACACACACAAACGATAATTTTTAATTAAAAAAAAATTTTTTTTTTTTTAAATTAATTCTACAACAACATTTGTCTATGAATGATGAACTCACGTCCAAAATTCTTTTATTGACTTAAAGAAAAAAAAAAAAAAAAATGGCTACCGCGCTACTACGACGTCCTAAACCGTCAATTCAATTTATTTCCACTTTTCTTTTTTTTTTTTTTTTTTTTTTTTTTCGTCTTCTTCTTTTATATGAATTTTATTTTTTTTTTTTTTTTAGTAAAAGAAAAATGATCTGGGAGTAAAGGAAGGGAAAGGGAGGGTAAGAGAGGGTTGTAATCGCGTGAGAAAAAAAAAAAAAAGAAAAGGTTAAAAGTTCAAACAGATTCTTTCTTTCTTTCTTTCTCTCTCTCTCTTTTTTTTTCTTTCACATTCCCTTGAATGCTTTTTATTATTATTATTATTTCTCTCTCTCTCTCTCTCTCTCTCTCTCTCTTTCTATTATGACGAAATTTTAAACGAAAAAATTTTGTTTTGAACGAAAAAAAAAAAAAAAAAATGGAGAGAGAAAAGGTCAAAAAAAAAAAAAAGAAAAAGAAAAAAAATGAAAGAAAATGAAAAAAAGATTTTTGAAAATCGTTTAAAATTATTTTATTATTAATTAATGACTTAATATTTAATATAAAATAAAATAAAATAAATAAATAAATAAATAAAAAAAAAGGATTAAAATAATAAGATGATGAAAAAATCGCAAAAAAAAATAAAATAAAATAAAAGAAGAAAAAAGGTTTTTAAAAAACAAAACGAAAAAAAAAAAAATTAATTAATTAATTAATATAAAAGTAAATGATAATAATAATAATAATAATAATAATAATAATAATAATAATGATTTATAATAAATTACAATAAGAATAATATTATATTATTTGTTATGGTTTTGGTAATTTACGGTATATATATATATATATACATAGGTAGTAAATCATTTGTAATATTGTATATAGTGTAATAATGGCAAAAAAAGGCAAAACAATTTTAGAAATTTGTTTTTTTTTTTTCTTTCTCTCTTTCTCTCTCACTCTTTCTCTTTCTTTCTCTTTCTCTCACACACACACATACAATTTTTCATTAAAATTGTTTTTTAATGGGGGAAAGAAGGAAGAAGAAGGAAAAAGAAAAAGAAAGAAAAAAAATAAATAAATAATAATAATGCCTGCGTATACACACACCCACACACACACGTTTATATATATATATATATTTACATACGCGTATTTTATAGTAAAAGAAAAATACGTTGTTTATTATTATTATTATTATTATTATTTTTGTGCGGGATTTTTTTTTCGAAATGGTTAATTCGCGTTGGAGAGTAGTAGCCCCTCTCCCTTTTTTGCTTTTTTGTTTTTCCACGAATGAAAATAGGGAAAATTATTTGTTTTATTAAATTGGGGAGAAATGTTTTGTGTAATGAAAGTAATCGGATGACGGTGATGATAATATTATTATTATTATTAATACGATTAAAATGACCTTTCGTATTCATTCCGGGATTTGAAAAGGGAAGAAAAATAATAATAATAATAATAACGAAGAAGGAGGATGAGGGAAAAGTGTGCGTTTGTTGTAATGTTGCGAATTTTTTTTTTTTTTTTTATTTGAATTTTAACGAATAGTATTTTGGAATTGGGTGAGGCATTATTTTTTTTCGGGGGGCGGAGGGAGAGGGAGGAGAAGGGGGAGGAAGGAAAATTTTTTAAAAAAAATTAATAATAATAATAATAATAATCAAATTTATATTATTCCAATAGGAGATCATTTTATCAGTTATCGACTGAATTTTTAAAAAAAACTTTTAATTTTTTTTTTTAAATATTATCGTTATTATTATTATTATTATTATTACTATTATTATCATTATCATTATCGTGTTTACATTATTATCAATCGTAATTACATAAAGAAGGAAGGAAGAAAAAATAAATAAATAAATAAATAATTATTGTAATATTTTATTAGATGTATAACCGCTTAAATGTTGAAAAGGAAAAAAAAAAATAAAAATAAATAATAATAATGATAGGAACAAAAATAAATAAATAAATAAAGAAAAGGAGAAAAATAAAAAAAAAAATTATTAAAAAAAAAGTAAATAAATAAATAAATAACTTGGTAATTTTTAAACTTATGTCAACCGGTGTATGTAACCATAAGATCTATAATAATTAAATTTTTTTTTTTTTTAATGTAATTCTTTTATTTACTCTCTCTCTCTCTCTCTCTATCTCTGTCTCTATCATTACATTTTTCATTCTTTGTAATTCTGTCTCTCTCTTTCTCTATCTGTCTATCTGTCTATTCATTTATATGACGAATATATATATTTCATAATAATCAAATAATTATTTGTAATATAGATTAGAAACTGTGTAATAATAATAATAATAATAATAATAATAATAATAATAATAATGATAATAATAATAATATAATATCAATATAAATCCCTCCTGGTTATTTTGTAAACGTTTATATTATCATTATCACATTTGTTTATTATTATTATTTTTAATTTTTTTGTTTTTCTGGTGAATTAGAATGGCGAAAACAGTGGGGAGGGGGACAGGGAGGAGAGTAGGAGGGTAGGAGGGAGGGAGACATAAAAATAAAATAATTTGTAATAATAATAATCTATATATATTTGTCTTTCTTAATTAAAATTTTTTTTTTTAGTGAAAATTGTTTATTGCAAATAATCAAATAAAACAACACAAAAAGGATTAATAAATAATAATAATAGAAAATTGTAAAAGAAAAAAAGAAAGCCAAATAAAATTGTAGACATTTTTTTTTTTTTTTTTATTTAACAGATGATAGATGTTAGTTAATAATATCTTATTGTAATTTGTATAAAAAAAAAAAAAAAAAAAAAAATGGAGAAAAAAAAAAATTAATAATAATAATAATTACTACTACTATTAAATACTAAATACTAATATTATCGTTATGCTTATTTTTTTTTAGCGTTCAATTTACGGTTATTAATTAATTAATTATTATTATCATTATCCTTATTATTATTATTATTATTATTGCAAAAATTCATAATGTATTCGAAGTGAGATATTTAAAAAAAAAAAAAAAGAAAAAAAATTTAGAAAAAAATAAAGAAAAAAATTTAATAAAAAAAAAAAAAAAATGAATAAAAATAAATAGAAAATAATATTATTATTATTATCGGGACAAAAAGTTTTTCTTTTTTTTTTTTTTTTTTTTTTTTTAAATAGTTATGGATATTGTATTATATATAAGTTTGCTTTCGTCCTAATGAAAGAAATATTAAAAAAAAAAAAAAAATATGTAACATAAAGATAAAGTATTATCTTTCTGTATTTTCTATTAAATTTTGTAGTTATTAGAATTAAAAAAAAAAAAAAAAGTGTTGTTTAGTAAATAATAAATACATAATAAATTTGATTTATTTATTATTGTTTTTAAATTATTTCCTTTCTACCCCCTCCCCCCCCGCCCCAAATTCTTATCATTTATATTCATGATAAGGAGATGATGATGATGATTGTTTTGATTTGTTTTGAAAGTTTGTCGGTTAAATTGTTTTGCATAAACAATTTTGGCGGGAAAATTTTTTCAGCATGGCGATGATGAAAAAATTATCTAATGACACTTTCTTATTGATCAGATAAGATATATATATATGTTCAACGAGTTATTAGGTGATTTTTTATTTTTAAATTACGATACGATGATTTAATAATATTTTATTTAAATAAATTTTAATTATAAATAATTTGAAATGAATAGTAAAGAAATTAAAATAATTTTAAAAGCGGCAAAAGAAAATTTAGATCAAAAAGATTATAAATCGGCCATAAAGAATTGCAAGGTATATATACTTTGTTTTTTTTTTTTTAAATTTATAAATAAATTATTTTCAAATTGAATATTCCCGTTAAATTTTTAATAATTCGTTTTATTAATAATTATTTTAAAAATTAAATAATTTTTTCAGTCAATATTAAAAGAAGATGGGAATAATTATATGGCATTAGTTTTTTACGGTGCTGCGATACAAGAAACCGAACAAAAATCCGAGGCTCCAAAAGCTTATAAAAAAGCCGTTGAAATTTTACCTGATCATAATTTAGCATGGAGAGGATTAGCTTGTTATTATGAAAAATATGAATGTAAAAATAATTCAAAAGAACTTATTAAAGTCTATGAAAAATTAGCTACCTTAGAAAATGAATTTACAAAATTTTCCGATGTTATTGATAAATTACAAAAATTATCAATATTACATTGTGACACATCAAGTGTTGATGCAATATATAATTTAATTTCTACCGCTGATAATGAAAAAAAATTGTTAATTTATAAATTTATTATCAATGTTTTAGAAGAAAATTTAACGGAGGAATTTAAAGTTCGAGTAAGTAATTTGCTGAAGAGTAAAATTTTAAGTTTGTGAAAATCTTTTATTGAAACTTATTTCGTTTTTATTTCAGTATGAAAATTCCTTGCAGTATTTATTATCAGTGACTCCTCCATTAAAAGATAAAAATGATATATTTAAAAAATATTTAAAATTTTTATACAAACAAAATAATTATGAAAGGATTATTTTGGAAGGGAACAAAATTTTAGAATCACATTTAAATGATGCAGTTTTATTAGAGTGGATATGCAAAGCTTACACAGAACTTCCCGAAAGTGTATTGAAAACAAATTCACCAGACATTTGCCCTAAAAGAGCATATGATCAATTATTAACCATCATACCTGATTCATATTTAGGATTATTTTGTAAAGGACTTAATGAATTATATCATGGCGATTTGATAATTGCTAATGATGAATTACTAAATGCGACAAAGATAAAACAAGATTCCGGTATGATTTGGTTTTATTTATGCACCTGTCAAATTTTACTCTATCATTTTGAAAATGCAGAAGAAAGCGCTTTAAAAGCTTTAAAATGTTTTAATAATAATAAAAAATATAAAAACATGATAACTGATTGCGAAATCAAATTACTGCAATCATTATGCGAATTAAATGAAAAAGAAAAGTGGCTCGAAGCGGAAAAACTAGGCATGAAATTATTAGAATCTAATTGTGATAGTTTAAATGTTTATCAATCGTTTGCCATAGCTTTAATTAAGTTAGAAAATTACTCCAAAGCTGAACAGTATATAAATAAAATCAAATCTCATGAAGAAATAGTAGAATATTTAAATATACTTATGTTAAAACAACAGAATAAAATAAACGATTGTAAAAAAAGATTAGAAGAATTAAATGCAAAGCCACATGATAATTTTATTTTTTGGTTAGAATTAGGTAAAATTTATTTTAGCGAGAAAAATGAAAAATTAAGTTTGTCATGCTTACTTAAAGCTGCTAAACTCAATCAATGGTGCTATTTAAATTTTTTATTTTTGGGTCATTATTACTCGTCTTTACTTAAGGATTTTGAAAAGGCAAGGAGATGTTATCAAAAAGCATTTCAATTAAATTCAACAAATGTTGAAGTTTGCAGATGTTTGAGTGACATTTACAGGACATTAGGAAAAGAGGTAAAAAAAATTATGTTGTTAAATTACAAAAAACAAAAAGAAAAAATGAAAATTTATAATTTTATCGTTATTATTATCATTCTAGGATCTTAATTTACAACTTTTATCTGCTGCCACAGTTATTAACCCAAAATCAAAATGGGCCTGGTTAAAATTAGGATTACATTATTTATCCGTCAACCAAGCCAAAGAAGCCATAAAAAGCCTTCAAATTGCTGTTCGGTTAGACTCGGAAGATAGGCAAGTTGTAAAATATAAAAAATAAAAGTAATTAATTTTGAATTTTTATAATATTTTTGTAAAATGTGAACAGGACTACCTGGGAGTGTTTGGGAGATGCTTATTTCGCACAAGGAGCTTACACATCAGCAATAAAATCATATCAGAAAACTTTGGATTTAGAATCGAATTCGATTTATCCAATTTTTCAAATAGCAAGAATAAAACACATGATTGGATCATTTTCAGAATCAGTACAAGAATTTAGATTGATTAATTCCAAAGCCACAGATTATATTCCTGCTCTTAAGGGTCATTCAGAAGCATGTATATCATTAATGAAACAATATCTTTCTCAACATATGAATGGTTTGGCTCAAGATATTTGTCAAGAGGCTGTTTATTATTTAATCAAGTACGAATGATTAATTGATTTATCGGATTCATTATTAATAATTTAAATAAGTAAATAAATTTCTGATGAATTTATTTTAGGTGCCTTGAATTGAGAAAAAATTTAATATGCATTTGGAAATTACTCGGAGATTGTTGCCTTTTAATTTCGAATCTACCAAAAAAATATTGCCAATTGAAAATATCATGTTGGTTGATGAACGATTTCAAAATGGAGGACAAGGAAATTTTGATATTAGATAAGGTTCAAATTCTCAAATTAGGTTGTAAATGTTTTTGTCAAGCCATAGCAATCAATGGGAATTTTCCAAATCTTTGGTACGATTTAGCATACGCATATAACAGCATGGTTAAAATAAGCAAGACGGAGGAAAGTAGGAAACAAATGAGAAAATTGGCATGTTCGTCCATTAAAAAAAGTATCATGCTTAATGGAAATTGTTGGGAAAGTTGGAATTTGTACGGTATTATTCTATCGTCAAAAGGTGAATTTTTTTTTTTATTATCGTTGTTGGAGTGTAAAACAAAATTTTTTTTACTATTTCATCTAATCTTGAATACTATTTTTTTTTTGTTTTTAGAATTAGAAAATTATTATTTAGCTCAACATTGTTTCATAAAGGCTTTAACGTTAAACGATACAAATGCAATTGCTTGGACCAATTTGGGTGCACTTTATTTAAGTCTAAACGATTTACAATTGGCCAATTTGGCATTTACCGAAGCGCAAAAATTTGATCAGGATTACGTTCATTGTTGGGTCGGTCAGGTAAAAATTAATTCTTAAAATTTATTTTAATCGGATTATTTTGAAATTTTTGGGAAAATTGTTCGAAAATTTTTTGTAAAAATTGAAATTTTCAGGCCATAATAGCTTACAGAACTGGTCATCACGAAGCCATGGATCTCTTCAGGCATTCGACGCAATTAGGATTCAATTCTGAGGGTTGTTTGGGTTACTCCGCATTCGTTATTCGAACTCTTTTAAATATTAAAAATAAAAACGATAAAGATTATGTTTACAGTATAAAAAATATGAATGCGATACCTGTATCCGTCGACCTTTTAACCTGGTACACGGGTCAGTTTAAATATTTAAATGTAAAAAAAAAAAAAATTTATATGATTTTATTTATTATAATTTTTATATATTTTCAGATCGTTTTACGGATAATCCCTGGGCTTTTAACATGCTAGGTTTATTATTAGAGAGGAAACAGCTTTATAAAGGATCGGCGGATGCTTTTTACAAAGCTCTGGAATTATTGGGAGAAAGAAACGAAAATAATACTTCGAGATTGGATAAAATTTTACTCAATTACAGCCGAGTACTTTCCAACATGAATCGTTACGAAGAAGCGATAAAACATTTGAAATTGATTAAAATTCCAACGTTTGCCAATCAGTGCGAATTAGCTTTTGCATTTTTCAAAGCCAAACTTTACGAGGATTCATATTCGTCGTACGAAACGACGCTCGAATGGTTCGCCTCGGACACGGAAATGAAATCTCACATTCTCGTCGCAATGGCCGCCGTCGTGTATTTACATCAGGGACACGAGGATGCAAAAATACTTTTAATGCAATCGTTAGTTTCCACGTGATTATGTTTTCGTCGTGTAAAAAAAATAATCATCAAATACTTGACGCCATCTTTGTTTTGTTCATTTAGGTGTCAATTAAAACCGGCATCGGTTCAGGGACTTTTTGCTTGTTGCGCTCTCGGAATGTTGCATTCGAATTTGGAACTCTCGGAATTGGCATTGAAAGAATTGAACGCGTACAGAGACGATCCAAATTATTTAAGTCACATCGCCCTTTTCAAATCCTATATTTATTTATTTAAGGTACGTCAGGATTAGGTTTTTATTATTGTAAATTCAGCTAATCCTATTCAGTTGAAAATTCTAACGATTTATTATTATTTTTATTTTAATAAGGGACAAAAAGAAAAATCGATTCGAGCTTTTTATGACGTCATACACAGGCATCCGGTTACACCTTCCGTTTGGTTGAGTTTATCCCTGTTAATGTTGCACCTACACGAAAGTTGTAATAAAAAAAGCGCGGCAAGATGTGCGGAAGTGGCTTTGGCAACGGGACGATCGTCGATCGACGTTTCCAAAGTAAGGAGGAAGAAAAAAAAGAGAAAATTTTCTGTCAATTTTTTGGTTTTTTTAACTTTTTTACAATTATTTTGTTAACACAGGTCATGTCGCTCGTGAGTTTGAGTAACCTTTTATGCGGAGAAGGTTTGAAAAGTTTGAGATCGTCACAGAAAGCCGTTCACATGTTTCCGGACGTGACGGAAAATTGGGTCGTTTTATTGGCATCCGTTTTGTCGAAATCGTTGCAGAGAGAGTCAACGAAAGAAATCGGATGGTTGAAAAAAATGATTACGTACATAAGGAGAAAATTTGCGAGTTCGAAACAAATGACGCAATGGTTGAGCAATAATAATAGGAAAATAGATGCTATGGCGGATAAATTAGTGAGTTGAAATAAAAGAAAAAGTTTAAAAAATGGGGAGGAAAGCAAACCGAAACAAACAAACACGAGAGAGTTTGTTGGGGGGGGGGGAACCAGTAGGAGTAGTAGTAGTAGTAGTTGTAGTATTTTTATATTCGTTTTAATTATTTATTTATCGTTATGGGGGGAGGTGGGGTGAGGGGGGTGTCAATGATATTTTTATCTCTCGTGTTAACAACAAATCTTTTTTGCCTTAAAAAAAAAATTAACACGGATTTTAATATTATTATTAAATATATATTTTTAACAATATGGAGGCTCGTAAAAAACGACGACAATTTTTTTACGGTTAAATATTTTTAAAAAAGGAAATGAAAAATTTGTTTCTAAATTAATAATGATGATGATGATGATTTTTTTCAATAAATACGTAATGCGTGCGAATATTATTATTATTTTTTTAATGATATGTAAAATGAATTTATTATTATTAAGTCAATCAATGTATCTGTTTTTTTTTTTTTTTCATTATTTTAATTTAATTTATTTTTTAATTTTTAATATTTTTAATAATATTTTTAGTAAAATAATTAATTAATTAATAAAAAAAAAAGGATTTAATTTTATTTATTCGATAGGGTTATGGTTGTATCCCAGAAGTAGAAATCGAAGACAGTTATTTCACACTTGACCGATATTAAGAATCCAAGAAAAAATTTAGAAAATATGGCGGAAAATTTTTTATCTCTTTTTTTTTTTTTAACTCTCTCTCTTTCTCTCACACACATACGCAATCTCGTAAATAACGTTTTAAAATGTCAATATTAAAAGAGAAAAAACGTAACACAAATATAATAATGATTGAAAATATATATATATATGTTATGTATATTTTTATTTATAATAAATGCATTTATTTAACAAAAATTATTATTATTATTATTTCTACAAAACTTAAAACGTTCCTATTATTATTATTATTATTAATACTACATGAAATGGCACGATTAATAATTATGATTATTAAAATTTTAATTTTAAAAACGTAAATTTTTTTTTTTTTTTTTTTTAATTAATTAATAAAACGATGAATGAATTTAAATTGATTGTTTTGTCAATAAGTTTAACAAACGTAAAACGTTATTCTAATAAAAAAAAATAAAATAAAATTTCTAATATGAGAAATAATTAACAACAACAGCATTTTTTTTTTTTTTTAATAATCTATGTATGTATGTATATATAAATATTTATATTATTACTACAGTGTGTGTCTCATGGATAAAAATGTATGTTTAAACATTCATCAATATGTTTTTCGCACGTGTTTAAATTCGAAAATGAAAACATACATTTCGGACAAACAAAACGAGATTTATTCCTTTGTAAAGGTGACTGCCCAAAAAAAAAAAAAAAATTATTAATTAATTAATTAATTAATTGCATTTTTATAAATAATTGAAAAAAAATTTAAATTTTTTTTTTTACTACCGTGGAAGTATCGGATGATCCTTTTGCAGATGATGATTGATCATTTGAATTGCCTTCTTTTTTTTCAGAATTTAAATTTTCTAATTTCGTTTGTAATATTCTTATTTGTTCAGCCATTTTTTCTTTTTCCCCAACAAGTTTTTCTCTGGCTTCTCTTTCATCTTTGAAATCACTCTCATATAATTCAGCCTAATAAAATTTTTGTTTTTTTAATATTAAATTTCAATCAAATGAAAACTTTTTTTTGTTTTTTTTTTTTTTAAAATGAAAACATACCTGAACTTTAAGAACTGGAATTTTTTCACATTCCAAATTAAGATTCGCAATTGATTCTTTTAATTTTTCACATTCATCTTCTTTTGATTTTAATTTTTCATCTTTTTCATTTAATTCAATGACAAGACTATTGATATCACCTTTCATTTTATCATTTTCCATTTTGCTCTCATTCAATACATTTAATTTTTCCTGCAATTCTTTATAATCGTTTAATAATTTACTAAATTGATAGTGCATGACTTTAAGACTTTCCCTGAAATATAAATAATTTAATACTTAATTTAATTATAACAAAAATAATTAATTTAGAAAAAAATAAATTAATTAATAAAAGATCATATACTCTTTTTCTTTTGATATTTTTTCTTCTCTCATAACATAATTTTTCAAATGTGATATTTCCGATAGTATTTGAGTTTGATGTTCTTTTTGAAAGTTTGATCCCATAACTGTTTCTTCTGCTAAATTAATCCAACTGTTTAATCCATCAAATCTCATGTTTTGATTTTGTACAGAATCATTCATGTCATTTAATTCATCCACACAAATTGATAATTCATCAGATGGATTATCATTTTTAGATAAAAATAAAACTTTCATTTTTTTAATTTCTTTTTTCAAAATGGTAACTTTTCGTCTTTCGTCATCGAGTTGTTTAAGTAAATTACTTATTTGCACACGAGCCTCAGAATTGGGTAACGAAACAGGTACAAAGCTACTACCATTCTGTGATTTGGTATTTTGTTCTTTCATTTTATTTTTTAAATAATCATTTTCACATTGAAAATCTTTTAATTTTTGACTGACATTTAATATTTCATGTTTTAATTTTTTTATCGTTTTTTGTAAATCGTATTTATCGAGAGATAAACATTCATCGTTGCTTTCTGCATTCTCTTGTAATCTTTCTAATTCTAATATGTTTTTTTGTAAATTATGAACCTCATCAATGTTCAAATCAGGTTTGTTAATTGAATCTACACCAGGTGAAAAATTACTTTTAATATTTGAATCACCATTCGAAAGTAGAGAAAAATCATTTGTCGTTGTTGTCGTCATGTTTTCGATTTGTTTTTTCAAATTTGCATTTTCTAATCGTAATTTTAAAATTAAATCTTTTGTTTCTAGAAATTTTTGTTTGTGTGTTTCGTGAGTTTTTAAAACTTCTTGCTGCCACATGAAAAATGTGTTCAATTGCGATTTAATGGCTAAATTATTTTGATTGAGAGTTTCTTTCAATTTTTGATTTTCTTGCAACAAATGATTCAATTTGTCTTGAGCATCTCCCTCATCGTTGGTTATGGTAAATGTTTTAAATGAAATGTCTTGATTTTGAGAATTTTTCATGTCTACAACTGAGTTTGGTTTATCTGTTAGTAATTCCGCATCGTTCCAAGATTCATTATCCGATAATGGTGCAAAAGATCCCGGACCAAGAATAACAAAAGAACTATCACTGACATTTGACAATGGTTCTTTAGATAATTCTTCTGACATTATGATTTTTAACGTAAAGACCTACGAAAATCAAATAATTTTTTCAAGAATTATAGTTTTGCGTACATGGGTGCGTATCATTTGTATTAAATATGTTTTTCAATATTATTATATTGTATATAATATTACAACATCAATGTTGCGTAATATGAACAACAATGTATAATATATTGTCAAACCCCAAAAACGAGTTTGATCAAATTTTAAATTAGTATTAATCGTTATAAAATAATTGTAATAAATATTTTTTTTAATAAAATATAACTTACTTGCGGGAAATAAAATTTATATCATATTTTTTCAAGTCACAGATAAAATAAATATTTTTTTTTGTCGACGAAATGAAAAATTTGTCGCAACGTTTCACTGTAAAATGAAGTCACCAATTTTCCTCTAACAAATGAAGCAATATATATATAAATAAATATTTTTTGGAAATGGTAATTACAAAAATATATTTAAGCCATTTATTATTTAAATTTTAACGTTTTTTTTTTATTTAATGCGTGATGAAAAAAGAAGAAAAATAAAATCTGTTTTTTACAATAATTAATTTTTAATGTCTTCCAATTGGACTTTACGCCTTACAAAAGAATGCAATATTTATTTTTAACTAAGAAGAAACGTTAAAAAAATTTTAATGTAATTTCTCATAATAATATTTAAAAACTCTCGTTTATTAATTATTTACAAAGAGTATTTGTTTTTCATCTGACAACTAAATAAGAAGTAAGAATAAAAATATAAAAAGGCTTTGTAATAAAATTATTTATTAATTACGCACTACCCCTTCTTTTATGGAGGGAGTGTGGGGCTCGGTTTGGATTGAAAGATAGCCTAGACGGGGACCCCTACCCACTAAAACTCCTGGGCATGTCGCTAGAGCGTGGCTTATGTGAATTGGGGGGGGGAAGAGGCACGTGGAGGTAGAACCTACATTTCAGTCTCCCCTCTCCGGTAAGCCAGAACGTTCACCGTTCCACATGATCGCTGGTGGGGAGATGCGCCCTAATTTCCGTTCCGCCGTCATCTCGAAGTTGAGAACGCATCTCCCAGGACGTTCGGCAGTCCCTTTCGGGAGTGTCCTACGGTCCTTCGCTTTCGGGAATTGGGTGGGAAACACGTCTGTTTCCTGAGGATGCGATCGGGACTGAGGATTTAGACTTATCACGTCGTCGCCTGAAAAAGGGTGAAAGATTAAAGTGAAGAACTTGTTTTGATCGCATCCTTCCTAACGGTATGGAGAATAGAAAAGGTGGACAGAAGAGGAGTCGACCGGAGTCGCCGACCCTCAATAAGAGAGAAAAGAAGTGTGTGTGGGTGTGCGTGTTCGCACGGCGACGACGAGTTCGCGCTCGCCGCCGCCGTGCCCTCACCCTCACCTTTACGGAAACGGTCGCGACCTGCCACGTCGTTTGCGCCTCCGTTGCAGGAAACGCGAGTTTCCGGACCGAGCGACCCGGACGGGTCTGAATTTTTTTCTATTCATTTGTTTGCCCGACAAACAACAAAAACAAACAATCGAAATTATTTAAAAATCATGTTTGATGATATGTTATCACAAAAAAAAAAAAAATTTTAACAATTTTAATAAATCCTTCTCCTTCTTCTCCTCCTCTTTCTCCTTCTCCTCCTTCTTCTCCTTCTTCTCCTTTTTCTCCTTCTTCTCCTTCTTCTCCTTCTTCTCCTTGTTCTCCTTGTTATCCTTCTTCTCCTCCTTCTCTTTCTCCTTCTCCTTCTTCTCCTCCTTCTCCTCCTTCTCCTACTCCTCCTACTTCCTCTCCTTCTCTTCCTTCTCTTCCTTCTCCTGTAGTTGTTGTTGTTGTCGTTGTTGACGTTTTGTGTTGTTGTTTTTGTTTTTGTTTACGTTTTTCGGTGTTGTTATTGTTTTTGTTTATGTTTTTTGGATTTTTTTTTTTTTTACATTTTTTGGATTTTTTTTTTGTTTACGTTTTTCGGTGTTGTTATTGTTTTTGTTTACGTTTTTCGGTGTTGTTATTGTTTTTGTTTACGTTTTTTGTTGTTGTTTTTGTTTTTGTTTACGTTTTTTGGATTTTTTTTTTTTTACATTTTTAGAATTTTTTTTTGTTTACGTTTTTCGGTGTTGTTATTGTTTTTGTTTACGTTTTTTGTTGTTGTTTTTGTTTACGTTTTTTGTTGTTGTTTTTGTTTACGTTTTTTGTTGTTGTTTTTGTTTACGTTTTTTGTTGTTGTTTTTGTTTACGTTTTTTGTTGTTGTTTTTGTTTACGTTTTTTGGTATTTGATCGCAAAATACGTTAAAATGTATCAACCAATCATAAGAAAAAGGAGGTGTTTTTTTTAAAATCAGGTGTACGGAGATTTTATATTTAATAAATCAATAAATAAATAAAAAATTGATTTTTAATACATTTATTTATTATAAAGTTTAAGTTGTACATACTTTACAATCTCTAAAATACTTATAGTATATCAAATTTTTTTTCTTTTATTTTTTTTTAATGCGTAATTTTTATTATTATTATTTAAAAAAAAAAATCAGTAAATTAATAAAATAAATCTTCAGGAAAAATTATTTGCTTCGATCGATTGAATTACAATGGCATGGCTCCCAGTGCTCCCACGATGACCGGAACAGTTTCTGTTTTCGTTCCCCACAACCTGGCTATTTCAATTTCTAAATTTCTGTACTTTAGCTTTTTGTCTGCTTCTTTGGCTGTCTCGTGCTTTTTTCTGCCGGCACGGATACTTCAATCAGTTTACACCACTTTTCCGTATTATACATCAGGATGATATCCGGTTTGTTGGCCGACGGCTAGGGTTTATGATATACTCATGTGAGAATTACGAATGCGTTTTTTTAATAAATTTATTTATTGTTTTTTAAATCGTTGCACACAGTTCCGTTTAAAAAAAAATTTTTTTTCCGAAGGGAAAAATCATTCGAACCTTTAAGGTTGATGACATTAAAAAAGTTTTGGAAATGATAAGAAGACGCAGACGTCGCGATTTGTTTTTTTTTTATTATGTTTAAGGGAATTTTGAAAATTTTTCTATTCATTTGTTTGCCCGAAAAACAACAAAAACAAACAATCGAAATTATTTTAAAATTATGTTTGATGATATGTTATAACAAAAAAAAAAAAATTTTAATAATTGTAATAAATCCTTCTCCTCCTTCTCTTTCTCCTTCTCCTCCTTCTCTTTCTTCTTCTTCTTCTTCTCTTTCTCCTTCTCCTCCTTCTCCTCCTTCTCTTTCTTCTTCTTCTTCTTCTCTTTCTCCTTCTCCTCCTTCTCTTTCTTCTTCTTCTTCTTCTCTTTCTTCTTCTCCTTCTTCTCTTTCTCCTTCTCCTTCTTCTCCTCCTGCTTCCCCTTCTCATTCTCCTACTCCTCCTACTTCCTCTCCTTCTCTTCCTTCTCTTCCTTCTCCTGTAGTTGTTGTTGTTGTCGTTGTTGACGTTTTGTGTTGTTTTTATTGTTTTTGTTTACGTTTTTTGTTGTTGTTGTTTTTGTTTACGTTTTTTGGTTTTTTTTTTTTTTTACGTTTTTTGGATTTTTTTTTGTTTACGTTTTTCGGTGTTGTTATTGTTTTTGTTTACGTTTTTTGTTGTTGTTGTTGTTTTTGTTTACGTTAGAAAAACATAAGAATGAAGAGGTTTATTTTTATTTCAAATCACGAGTGAAAATGAAGGTGTGGATTTATAGTTAAAGTCAGGTGTACAAAGATTTTAAATCAATCATTAATAAATATTTTTATTAAATTACTTTTATTTTTCTTACAAAAGTCACAAAGACTCCCGCCCGACTCGCCCGAGTTCCTTCCCCAGCGCGTCCCTGTCGCTGTTACGATGGGAGAAAGACCAAAGATTTGCACCTGTAAACAGAAACATTAACCTCCGTTCCGCCCCCCCCCCGACGATCGCCAACGCACCGAAGCCGGGACGAATCTCCCCCCGACGGAATCGAGCAAGAGACCCGGAGCCCGACTCGGAGTACCGGGACGAATCCTTACCTACCTCCTTCCTCGGGAGACGGTCGCGACCTGCCACGTCGCGCCCGCCTCCTCCGCAGAGACAAAGTGAGCTTCCGGAGGCGGTGAGAAGTTCCGAAGTTGCGGGCCGACGAAACATGCCCGCAGTCCGTCCGCGTTTCGTCCCTGCCACCGTCCAATTGACTCTTGCAGTCCGAAGTGCGAGAATCCAACCGGCGCGGAGTCGGAGTCGTCGTCGCAGTCGTCTTCCTTTTCCGCCCCTTCTTATTTGCCGTTGGAGTGAATCTCACGCGCTATCCTACACCCGCGAACCGCTCCCGAGGATGACGAACTTCCGGAGACGAGTCGACCTCGTGCAAGAAGATCTTCCCGTGGTCCTTCCGCTCGCATCCCCGTTTTCCCGGAGTAGTAGTACCCTGAAAGAAAGTGCCGAGTCCCACACTTCTTTACTCCCCGGGGTTGGTAAGGTACAGGTCTGACTCTTCGTCTGGCGCGCAGGGTCCCTCATGACCCTATGGCCGACGAAAACACTCGGTCGGGACCCCGAAGTGCTCCCGCCGACTGTCTAAAGCAATGCGCGACGAGTTGGACCCGAATTACACGACCAGAGGCATCCGCTGGACTCGCCCTCCAAGTAGCGGGATTACAGGAGTACGCCCCCAACTTCCGGCCCCTAAAATAACAACAACTTTAGTTAACTTTTTAATGTAATTTTCAACCTTTTTCCTTTTTTTGATTTTCGGTATAAAACATCAAAAAAGGTAAAAAACAATTTTTAATAATGTAACAAACCAAAAATTTTTAATTTGACTCTTGTAGTCTTCTTCCTCTTTTTTTTTGTTGTTAAAATATATTCTTCTTTTTCTACAATTTTCTTATTGTTTTGCGAGTGCGTGTGTGTTGAATTTTCCGGAAACGGAAACGAAAACAGTCAGTCAGTGAGTCTGAAAAGAGAAAAAAAGGATAAATTAATATTCGATTAAATTTATTAATATTAATTAATTATTTATTTATGTTTTTGTTGTGTCTACATGAATTTTATAATAAATTTCTTATTTTTCAAACTAATTAAAATGAAATATTAAATTCACGATGGAGAAAAACAGAAAAACAAAAACAAAACTTATAATTTCTTTGTGGTTTTGTGTGTTATTTCAAAAAGTTTTCCCAAATTTTTTTTTTTTTTTTACTTTTAAAATTATTAAATAAATTGATTTTTATTTAAATTCAGAATAAAAAATAATTATGATAATAAATTATAATAATTTAGGCGGAGCAATTTTCAGATTGAATAAAAATGGCGGACAAAACTTTTTTTATTTTTTTTTATTTTAGAAAAGCTAAAGAGTTAATGAAAAATTTATTAATTTGAATTAAAATTTAACTTTAATTAATTTATTGATTTTTATTTTATTGTGTAAATTATATTAAAAAGAAAATTTTAAAATAAATTTGTAACCGTTAAATTTATTTATTTTTTTTTTATTTGTAACAAACACCAACCAGTACGAGATATAATAAGGAAAACCTAAATTACAAAAAAAAATTTACGATCTGAACAATTTAATAAAATTCTGTACAAACAAAATAAATTGACTTTTCATTTACCCTCCTAAACAAGGATTTCCTTTGAATTAAAAGGTAAAGTAAAATGTTGGAATTTTATTATTATTATTATTATTAATATGTTACGCGATTATGACAACGAATATTATATGATTAATGGCGAGAAAAAAAAAATATGTTAAGTTTTTATTAACATAATTCCTTGTTAAATTTGATTATTATTATTATCATAAGTATAGAGGAGACTTTGTTTACTCGCCAACGCGGAAAAATTAATATCAATAAACAATTGTCATAAATATTTGAATAATTTTCATCATTAAATTTTCCTTTGTTTTCTTTTCCTTCGATTATATAATTTTTCTTGATTTGTAAAAGAAGCTTCTAGAAACTTATTCTTCTGTTTGTTTACAAACATAGTTATTCTATAAGAAACATAATAATGAGTTCCATCTGTATAAGGAAGCTGAGAGGATACAAGAGGAGAGGTACTTTCTTCCGGTTTCCTCATGTCCTGTGAACGTCCATCTTATTAGGGGTTGTGTTGGTGAAAGTGACGGTTACCAACTGGGTACTACCTTGCCTACTTGGTGTTGCCCATGAAGTGAGTTATAAACCTTAGAAGGATATAGAAGAGTTATAAACCTTATCACCCACCGAATTATTAATAATAATAATAATAATAAAATTATTCAATGACGTTTTAATAAATTTTTTATTGTTATGCAACTGCAACAACAAACTTCAAAATCAAAATTTTTTTTTTATTAACAATGATGATGATGATGGTGTCTGTTATTTAAAAACAAGTTCATCAATTAAGATTTAAATTTTGATAATCCCTCGTCCTTCGAAATACAAACGCACACGCACACACACACACACGAAAAGAAAAGTCATAGTGAGAAGTTTGAATGAATGGACCATGCGTTCACTCACACACACGCCCATAAAATTATTTACAAAAGAATAATAATAATGACACGTGTGTGAAGTGTATCACTAGCTAGATAGAAAAAGCGGTCGTATAAAAAGGAAAATTTCAAAACAATCGATTTCGAGGTCTTTATTTGGTCCAGCATATTTAGAAATAGGTATCTAAATTAGAACGATCAACAATAATTGAAAGTCATGAAAGGAGGAGTAAATTCGTGATTTATAATAAGAGAAGGACTTTTAAAACCTCCTTCACTTCCTGGTTGTTTCCCCTCACTTTTATTCCTATGGGTATATATATTCTAATGCCACGATTAAATTACATTTGCTAGCTGTGTCGTTGCAGAGTAGCTTCTTTTTTGAAAGAAATGTTCAGATTGGTAAGTAATTTAAATTTCCGTTTTGTAATAATAAATATTAAAATTTATTAAATGATTTTTTAGGTCCTTTGTTTGTTTTTGATTGCTGTCGCCGTGGCATCTGCCGGTTATGTTGCCTACAGCCCAGTCTACGTTGGACAAGGTGCTTACGGACATCATGGTCCATTTGCAGTAAGCTACAGAGCTAGAGTAGATGCACCGAGACAAGATCTTCTTACTTTTTCAACAGTTCCACTCGATCATTTATATCATTATTAAAAAAAAAAAAGTGACAGATTCTGAACAATGTGATGTTGTACATAACCTTCCTCCCCTCCCTCCTCCCTTTTTTCTAAAAACACTTTTAATTATCATTAACGTTTTTTATTACACTAAAACCGACAGCGATAATATATGATGCTGTTGTTTTCCCTTTGTTTTAATTTTATTTAATAACAAATTAATTTTTCTTTTTCCTTCAACTTTTTATGTTTAAAAAAAAAAAATTTCCGTTAAATTTTTTCAAAATGGCGATTTCATGTTATTAATGTTTTAATAATAATAAAATTTTCCTTCTGCAAAATTTTGTTTTGTTTTTTTTTTCCCCCGTTCCTAAACCTTTCGGGAAATTTTTTTTTTTTTTTGTTTTTTTAAAGGAAAAGCGAGGAGGTGAGGTGGTGGTGGGAGGGGGGTAACGTACATAATTAATTAGTGAGTTAAAGTGTTTTTATCGATAGGTTGATTTAATTATTTTTTAACTTTAAACTTTACGAATTTAATTTGTCAAAACAAAAACAAAAAAAAAATGGAGGAAAATTATTTTAAAAAAAAAATTAAAGGAAAACCTTTTTACGACAAAAAACTAATTTTTTTTTTTTACGATAAAGTCGATAAAAAAAAAAAAAATTAAAAAAGTTTGCTTAACCTAAATTTTATGGAATCGTTTTACGTGATATGTGAGATTTACTAAAAAAAAAAAAAAAAAAAATGTTTTCTCAAAAACCGTTAAAAAAATCAATTTTTGTTTCTAGAAAGAAATTTCATTTCCGGTGGATATTTTTTACAATTACTTTTAATAATAACAAACGTCGAAATAACGAGTATGATTTTTTTTTTTTTTTTTTTCTCGTTTAAATTTCGTCTAGAACGTTCTTACGACAAAGATGATGATGATGATGATGATAAAATGTAAAAGCGTTTTCCTTTATTTTTTTTTTCTATTTTGTCCATCTGGTGGTAATTTTCCTAAGCTTTAAGATTCGTCGTCATGGTAACGGCATGACCTGGGTATATTTTCCCACCCTTTCATGCTCTTAATTTTAGTATTTTGTACATCACATAAGACATAACCTTTTTGGATGTTATTTTTTCTTCTTCTTCTTCTTCTTTAACATAACATTTAAATATATATATATATTATAAACATGTGTTTATGTACATAAATAAATAAATAATTAATTAACGTAACTGGTAATTATATATATGTAGAAATCATCAAACGTTTGTTGTTACGAGAAAAAAAATAAATAAATAAATAAGAATACATATACATATAAACAAAGTAATAATAATAATAATAATAATAATAATGAGAAATTTTTGTCGTATTGTTAATGATGATACGTTAGTTTAAAAAAAAAATTCATTCAAATCGTTAAAATGTCGTCGTTTTTTTTCGTTTTCTATTTTTGAAATTTTTTATTATTATTATTTTGTTTTCTACGACGTTTTTTTTACAAAAAAAAAAAAAATATTATTATTATTATTATTATTACGTTCGGTTTTGTTATTTGTTTGTTACGCAATGAAGAAGAAAATCATAATTCGAAAATGAACAACATAGTCTGATGTTTTTGTTTTTGTTTTGTTTTTTATTGTGTTTTGTTCGATTGGAATATTCTCGAAAACGTGATTTATAAACGTGATTTGTCGTTATTTATAATTTTTTAATAAAAAAAAAAACGATTTTTTGTTTTCTAAAATGGCGGTTCGTTCGCGAGTTTAAATAAATGAATAAAAAATTGTACATACATAAATGAAAATTTTGTATATTCACGTGTGGTGTAAAGAACATTGATATCGTAGTAAGTATTTATTAAAATAAATATTAATTTATTTTTTCTTTTTGTCATCATCTAAAAAAAGAGAGAGAATGAGAGAGAGAACGAACGATGGAATCATTTTTATTTTAACAAAAAAAAAATTTGGATCGAAACAAAATTTTATTTATTTATTTTATTTTTTTTACGTTTCATTTGTTTTTAAATAATTTTTATTTTACTTTGTTGTCTTAAATCATTTTTTCTTAAAGGAATAATAATTACTTTTATTATTTATTTATAAACAATTAGTAAAAATAAATTTTAGTACCTCCGGAGGTTCGATTATGATTAAAAAAACGTTTATATTAATTTTTACATAAGTTAAACATTATTTTTCTTTTTGTTAAGATGAAAATCCACGAAAATTTTCTTTAAATTATTTAAATTTCGTTTATTGTTTATTATTATTATTATTGTTTACGTATTATTCGCACACACACAAGTAAAATTAATTATTTAAAATTTCTTTTCCCCCACCCACGCGCTTCCCCTACTCCTCCCCTCCACCCCCCCAATACCCCCGTAAAAAAAAAAATAAGGGAAAAACTTTTTAAAAAATAATAAAATTTTAACATGAAAATTTTTATTAATAATAATAATAATAATAATAATAATAATAATTAAAGAAAAACTTTAAAAGATTTCTTATTTTATTATTATTAACATTTTCTTCTTTAAATATATATACTAAAAAAAAAAAAATAATAATGAGGAAAATTTAACCCTTGACCTTTTAATATTAACAAAATGTTATTTTACTTAAATATGAGTATGTATATTATATAAAATATTATTATTATTATTAATATCAAAAGAGGGAAAAATTAATATTTTCAAATAAGTTTTTCATTTTTTTTTTTAAATAGTTAAACAAATAAATAAATTCGATACATTTGTTTAATAATTATTATTATTATTATTATTATTTGTCTTATTATAACAATAATAATTTTCGTAATGGATTTTCCCACATTTTTTTTCTAAATTTGACTTTTAAAATTTGTTTGTTGAGTCTCAATGTCAAAAAAAAAAAAAAAAAAAAAATGTCATAAGTTTTCTTTTTTTCAATAAAAGTTAGACGTTTCCAATGATTGATTATAAATTTTGAGGAAAATTTTGGTGAAAATTTTCCTTTTTCCAATATATATATTTTTGTGTTTGTTTTTTTCAGGTTTTTATTAAATCCGATAATAAAAAAAAGAAATATAAATTAAGGTTTTATTTATAAATTACTTAAAATTTCGTCGTTGTTCTTTCCCCCTCCCCTCCCCCCAAATATTTTTCTTTTGTTTTTCCACCCATCTTGTTTTTCCAAAAAAAAAATTTTGTTTTTGCCGCCATTTTTCCTTTCTTTTCTTTTCTCTTATTTATTAATTCAAATCGATATGTTTTTCTGTTTTTTAAGGTAAAATAATACGTATTCGAAATTCGTTCAAAACTATTATTATTATTATTACTTAAGGCTTTTCCTTTAAATAAAAAATTTAAATGAAATTGTTTTTATTATTAATTCATGAACATACATTATGATATAATGGCAGTCATTTTTCTTTTTTTTTTAATAATAATTTGTTGTAATTTTTAAAGAAAATTAAACTTATCAGGTATTTTTTCAATAATAATAATAATAATAATAATAATTTATTGCGGCCGATTATTTTAAATAATTAAGGGGGGGGGTGATTTAGTTTTAAAATAAATTTCAAATATTTCGCAATTTAAAATCTGGTTAAAAAAAATAAAATTGAAAATTTTCCCCGAGAGAAAATCGATTATAAATTTTTCTTCGTCTTTAATCTCATATATATTTATATATTTTGTTTGTTTTCGAAAGTCACAACAAACAAACAAACAAACAAACATAAAAAAATTAATTTACGTGTGGCGACCGATAGACACGACGTTTAAAATTTTCCACAATGGCGACGACTTTTAATTCCAAAAAAAAATAAAAGGAAAAAAAAATTGGATTTGATTTCGTCAAGCACGTGTATTATGATCATGAAAACCTCCCCCTCCCCCCCAAATAAAAAAAATCATTTAAACGAACACGTAATAATAATGATACGTGAGAACGGATTATCGATCGATTGATTGATTTTTTTTTAAAAAAATTTTTTTGTTTATTTTGATTTTAAAAATTTTCCTAAAAAGTGGATTTTCTTTTAAAAAAAAAAAAGAAAATTTTATCGATTTGATAAAAGTAAATAAATAAAAAAAGTAAACCGGAAAAAGGGAACCATTTTGTTTTTTTTTTTTTTTTACCTTAAAGCATTAATTTCTTTCTTTTTCTGACTTTCGTTTTTCGTTTTTTTTTGGGGGGGGGAGCGGAGCGGGGAGAATTTTGACCTCTTTTAAAAATATATTTTAAAATTTTCTTTTTCTTTTTCTTCTTCTTCTTCTTCTTCCTTTTAATTTTATTACTCTTTTCTTTTTCCCCGTGTAATTTTATTTCAAATTTTTTTAAAGAACAAAGAGGGAGTATTTCTCTCTCTCTCTCTCTCTCTCTCATTCAAAACTTTTTTTTTGTAACCTTTGAACTTTTAATTTTAACAATAATAAATAAATAAAACAAAAAATTTTTTTTTTTAAATCGCACAAAGTTTTTAAATCCAATACCTCGCGATGGTGGTAATTGTAGAGAGAATAATTATTATTATTATTATTTTTTCTAATGCCACTTCAAATTTTTTCCTAACCTAATTAACAATAAATGAATAATTGATATCGGAATAATTTTTATTAAAAAAAAAAAAAAAATTATATAATTATATTATTTTTAGAGTTTGGAGTTTGTTGACGAATGCTAAAACGAAGGCCTGGAAATCTTCTCCAGTACATCTTTTCAGGTGGCACGGTACGCTCACGTGGTGAGTCATATTTAAATTTTCTTCGCGATATTAATAATGATAATAATAACGAACTAACTATTCGATAAAATTTTTTTTTTTTTTTTCGTACGGAAAATTAATATATATATATATAATTAATCGATAAATTTATTTAGGATTTTATTATAAATTTATTTATAATAGTCTTCTTATTAAGTTAGTTATTGATTAAATAAATAATTAATAAAATTTATGCGTCGTTCAATTTACATAAATAAGATTAATTAACAAGTCAATAAGTTAAATAATTTATTAAACCCAACAGTGACGATGGGAAAACGTTTCA